AGAGGGCAGTGATAAAAGAAAACAAATGATGGAGGGAGAGCGGCAGCGCTGTGACAGACAGTGATGTGATGTGACTGAAGTGAAATTACAGGAGGAGGAGCGACAGGGGCGTCTTCTAACACCTCATCAGCAGGGGTGTAAATCACAAGTCTCATCATGAGCCAGTATTATATTGATTCTTTGGATAATGACTTGATATTTGATGATATGGCAAAGTCTGCCACGATGTGATTTTGATTCGAGTCAGTTCAGGGGCCTGCGATCGATATGGTTACAGAGGTTTGTTTTTTGCTTTCGGCCCTAACAAACAGGTAAATAATTGTAAATTATAAATAAATTGTAAGTTTACTTTAAACTGACTCCACTAACACAAATAAAACATGACTTAAAAACAAGAACATTTAACAATAGTATAATATTTGGTCCAATAATATCTGGCAAGTTTCATAGTTGTTTTTTGCTAGTCACGCATTATTAGCTTGAGCACTTTTACATCGCATACATTAGCTTAGCAGCTAACAGTCATTTCCTCCACTCATAACTCAAAAATATCCATTTATACTTTTTTGTACTCATCATCTCTTTCATGATAATGCAAGTAGAATTTTTAATATGATATAAAAAATTCATATTGTGACAATATTTCAACTTGTTGACATCATCGTCATACTGTTACCGACGGCAACAACAAGCATAGCTGAAAGCAAAATTATCACCGACCTGCAGTGGTTCCAAAAAGAGGAGCAGCTTCAGTAGTGTGGAATAAACTGTGACGTCCTGAATGTTTTATGAACAGCCCCGGACTTCTCACACTCTTTTAGTGACTTACCGCTCAGGCAGAGCATAAAGATCCAGGTGGGAAAAACAAGTCAATCATTTAGGATTTTACTAAAAGAAGGAAATCACCTGTTGATTAATATATATAGATCCCAAAGGACATTTTTTTTGTATTTGGGAGCTGTTTAAATGTGTAATTTGTGGTCGATGAGGGCCATATCGCCCACCCCTACTCCCCACTGGTTAAAGTCACCACATGTCTTGACAGATCAGCATGGTTGCATGCATGTTTTTTTCAGCTGAACATTGTTCAAACAGAGCAGCTAATGTAGCAAGAGTTAGCTGAATGAGATGCACAGCCCAGTTTGTCTGTATCATAAGTATTTTATTTCATAGCATTGTTTGCATACGGCATGTGCTTTGTCTGTTGACCTGCCTTTTCTCTAAGATCCAGAATATTTCTACACTGCTGATTTATCACCAAGAAAGTAGTAAATATCCTTATTAAGGTGGAAGGATAGATGTTTGCTGGAGGGAATTATAACTAATTCAGTCGAGGTTGCATTATGAAGTCACTCACCAAACAGAGAACAAATATTGGACGAGTTCACTTAACCCAATAAGTATTCTTACAGTGTCTGTGCATGACAACTATTGGTCTCAAAGGCTTTAAAGTGGTGCCACTAACAAAACAAATACTAGCATAAACATTAGCTGTCTGACAGTCTGAAGAGCGACGAGACGATCCAAGCAACAGGACTCTATGTAGACATCATTTCTGCATGCTGACAGTTATTGACTCCTGCTCATATATGTATGTTTGAGAGCTTTTCTCTGCTGTATTTCACTCCAAACAAATATTTGGGTTAATGCCCAGCTTCTATCATTTACACCCTGCAGTGGAGTTTTATGGCAAACATCATATGATGCATTTACCCATCATCGTAAATCAAGTGGTAAATACAGCGTGGTCATGTTATATTTCTCTGTTACACATTTCTGGGCTACAATTGGAGATACATTTAAAATGGGAAAGGTTTGTTGTGGTGTTAAATATGAAAATGTGGACTTAAAGGAGGCGGTCCCTGAATAGGAATGCAGCTGCACAAACACCTCCCATTTTAGTCCCAGTTGAAAAGCCTCTTTGGTTCTCGTCTCTGGAGAGACCTCTGGATATCTGTGATCTGTGTTTCACTGCATACAAATGTGCTTGAAGGCAACACTTAGCCAGTGGAATTGGATTAACCTCCATTCAATTCACCAACTGTGTGTTAGCTTACTGTCTGCAGCCACACACACACACACACACACCCCCGCTGTGCTTCTTTTACAAAGGAAAAAATATATAAGAATCTTCATAATACAGTCATTTACCAACGCACAGGCAGCATGAAGGTATTTGCATGTTTAAATAAACACACGTGCTGTTTATTACAGCAGAGGATTAAATACTGTAACTGCACATGACTTTGGCTTTGTTCCTGGAGATGATTATTGCTCCGGATGTGACTGCTGTTCAGTGCAATGTGTGTTACATGAGAGGAGTTTAGTTGAGCTCACAGCTCTGCCATCACTGATCTTCTCTGTGTATCCAGACTGTGGTGAATGTTGTTATCATGGCGGCTGAGTGTTAACACAGCTATTACATTATTGTTTCCCTGTCTCTGGATCAGCTCTTTAAGGAGCATATTGGGTTTTTTCCCACTGTACTTTGATTTCCAATCACTGCATCCCATTTAGGATTTTTTTGATGTGCAGGTCGTGATGAATCAATATTATAATTACGTCCTGTAAATTGTGTACCGATAAAAATCTTGTGCATATGTGTGTCAGCTCCCTCTTTGCTCCACATGCCAAACACAAGAACATGTAGATGATAGACAGTAATACGGAGTACTGTAATAGGCTTACCAGTGACTCTGGTGTCCATGTGAAAGCATCTGTGTGTGTGTGTGTGTGTGTGTGTGTGTGTGTGTGTGTGTGTGCGCGTAGCTGCAGGGATAGTGATGCTAAGTGAAGCAGACTGTGCTGTCCCAGTGCCCTCTGACTTACTCCGTCTCCCAGATGACGCCTGTGTTTATCACTTGCTTTGATTTCAGCAGCACTGTAAAAGACAGTCACTGTGGATCTCACCGCAAAATCAAACTTGATCTTATTGGTTTGATTTTTATTTGGCCAACATGTTGCCTCCTGGAAGACGCGAAAACACTTGAGCCAAGTAGAGCTTTGTAGAAAGGATTCAACTTCATCTCTCCGGGCAAGAGTCTAAAACCATGCTGGCGGCTCTGTACTTCGGCACAGCAGCATTTAGACCTAAATAGTCTCATCAACATGCTCACAATGACAATGCCGGGCAACATGTTTGCGATGTTCACCAACTTACTAAAGCTTTTCAGCATGCTAACATTTGCTAATTAGTACTAAGCCCAAGTACAGCTGATGGGAGTGTCATTAGTTTTAGTCATTAGTAAGGTATTTAAAACTTAATTTAAATTTTGACCTGTTAGTGCTGGATGAGGGGTCAGGGGATCAAAGCTAAGCTATTACAATTCAGCATGTTGGGAACCATGTCTGTATCCAGTTTCTTGGCAATCCATCTAATAGTTGTAAAACCTTCTTTGGCCTACTTCACTACGTCAACTTCATGGTGGAACTAGAGGAAAGGTCAGGGAAATACCAAAGTCAGGAGAATCCATTGTCATAGAATCATGAATCCCTGTACAAATACTTGTGTCAATCCAACTTGTGGGTGAAAAGATATTTCACTGACTATGCGAAAAATGTGTCCTGCTGTTGACGTTAGAGGAGAACTCCAAGGATCACCAAAATCAGATGAAATTATCCTCTCGGGACCGATAATGAGATACGTACCAACCTTCACAGTAGACCCATTGATGTATAAAGAGAACTGGGTACAGCGTTGGAGGTGGGGCCTCGGTCATTCCTGTTACAGTTGCTCAGTGGCTAAAAATGTCGCTGAAAATAAGAAAATAACTGCTGCGTATGAAATTACCCGGACAATAACGTTGCCTCCGCACTGTGTGGCCCACAGAGCAGATGTACTAGAGACCTCTGCTGGCTGAGCTGGTTACTTCTGGTTCAGCAATCTGCTAACTTTAATCATTTCTTGGAGGTTGCAACACTCAAAAAAATGTATCCACTCATTTACAGACAACTCTTTCCTAATGTTAGTCTGTGGGGGAAATTATTTTTGGGGTCACATGGCATCACGTGATGGATGTAATTCCACTGTTTGGCCACAAGGAAAATTGGCGCACCTCCTGGGGGCCTGGGTGGCTAATCCAGTAGCTGTAAAAACATTTCACCCTGAACCACAAATGTCAACCTCGTGGTGCCCTTAGATGGAAAGTCATGAAATCACCAATCCTTGCTATGAATGTCTGCACCAAATTTAATTGAATACCAGTAATAGTTCATCCTGGACCAAGAGTTGTGGATCAACAGACGGATGTTGCCGTCCCTACAGCCACACAGCTAGCATGGCTAACATTGCCAGAAAAATGGCAACAAGCATTGATAGGATCAATAACAGCTGTAAAGATTGTTGTTAACGTGCAGAAACAACAACTTCAACGATTTCTTAGATATTGCTTTCATCAGCATGACAAACATCTCGTGAAGTGCTCCTAGCAACAAACCTCGACCACAGTTTCTGTTTCTGATAAAAGTAATGTCAATGAGCCGAATATGTCCATTACTAAAGATTGGTTAGGGCAAAATGACACCCTCCCTTTCCCCCTGAAAAAAGGCTAACATGAAGACAATTATTATCTGGCTAGGTGAGATTTTGAACAAAAAAAATTAACAGCAGTCGTCATCAAAACATTGAGATTAAGCAATGAAACTGAACACTGATTGGCAGAGCAGAGGAATGCTACCAGAGAAATGCTGTCAGTGTGATGCTGCCTGTCTTGGCCACTCATGTAAAGCAGATATCTAATCTCCACGAGGCTTCTCCTGGCTAAATAAATCTTAAAGATGAGTCAATATATGAAAACATGGAGAAGCTGATGCTGGGGATTGTCTCTTCTCTGTGTTTAAAGCAGCTCAGGGTCTCAGCAGTTAGAGTGTTACAGGCAGGAGACGGAGCAGCCTATAATTGGCCGGCTCAATCTCCTCATCCCATCCACACACACTCTCTCCCTCACCGTCTGCCTCTCTCTCTGCCTCGACTGACGGTGTGTTTCCTCCAATCCCTGCAGGGCCATGTGAGACGAGGCACCAATAGCATGTCGGGGAGGGCAGAGCTGGGTGCTGTCGGCCAGCTCCAGGCAGAGATGCTGCATTTGGAACTGATCGACGGCGCTGACGGTTACCGCGGTGACAAAGAGTCCTCAAAGGCGTCTGCCATCGCACCCCTGCCGGTCACCAAGGACCCTGTAGCACCTGTTACCATGGATACCTACAGACCCAAGAGACCCACGACCCTTAACCTCTTCCCGATCGTGCCGCGCACACAGGTATGGTCTGAATAATCTACACACACAACACACACACACACGGTTTGTGGCAGATGACTGAGTATTGATCACAAAGCAGGAGGAGTGAACCTTAAGTGAAGATTTTTTTTCTGTGTGTCCGCTTGTCTGGGCTCCTCTTCACACACAACTATGACATTCATTGAATTAACAACCTGCGTGACATCACCATTGGATTCACTACAATTGCTTCTCTCACAGGATGTGTTTACTGGACTGAACAATAGCCCCAATTGTCAAGACACAGAGATTTTTTTTGCCCTGGTGCCCGTCTCTGTTTGTGTTTGAATGCTGTGAGAGCTCGTGACTGAGTGTGTGTTCTTGGACTTCAATCTTTGTGAGAACCAGTGTCAGCATTTAACCTCAAGAGGAGGACATTTTGTCTTCAAAAGGCTGTTTGAGGGTTACATCTTGGTTTAAGGTTAGAATTAGGTGTAGCTGAAGGTGAGGAGATGCCCCAGTGTGCAGTATTAATAAGGGTCCTCACAAGTATAGACATAACATGATGAGTATGTATGTTTGGGTGAGGCTGGTTATGTGTCACAGTGTAGGTATGTGTATGTGTGGATCAATGTCTTTTGATCTCATGTGTGTCTGTCCTCCTGTTCACACAGCAGAACCCTGGTCCATGTTGTTCTTACCTAAATGGACACACTAATGGTGTGTGTGTGTGTTTAGATCTCCACAGGTTCCTCCAAATTAAACCGCAAAATATGTTGTTCATTAATGTCCTCTAAAACAACCCACAAGCGCTTTCTGATATGACGCTCCAATCTGAGGGATGACATCGTTTGTTTGTGACGTTACAAATTCACTGTAAAGAATAAATCAATTTCATGATGTGGCATCGCTATGGTTAAGGTTTGATTCATGTCTGCCACAGAAATGACTTGGTTAGATAAAGGAAAACCAAGCCAAACATTAGAGAATACGTTGGCATTTAACGTCTCTGCAAACCACAGATACATTTGCACGTTATTATGTAGCGGATACGTTAAAACCTATTTGTTTAGGCACAAAAACTACTTGGTTATATTTAGGAAAAGATCGTGTTTTGGCTTAATACACTCCCTTTAGGCGGCATAATCTCACCAGGAAAAGCAGCAATGTCTTAGTATTAAACAACAGCTTTTCATGGCATTATCCCCGCCGACAGGTCACCACAAAACATGCCCAACTGGAGCCTACAGAGCCCATGAGAATGTGGCGATGACGGGCTACATCACAACTGGTTTTGTTGTCAAATGTTCTTGAACAGTCATCTTCAGCTTGGCAGCCATCTCACCTAGGTGACATGCCATCCACCATTCTCTTCACTCAGTCAGCTCATATATTACATCACTTCAGAGACGTTGATATGGTACATATGAAAGATAAAGTAACATGGTTATGGTCTGCAGAAAGGTGAAATGCAAACTTTCTTATGACGACTGGGCTGGGGAACGATCACGGTTTGGACTGAAATGACTACTTCATTAAGGTTGGAGGAGCATCATCGTCACGGTAATAATAATAAACACTGGATTAAAGTTACATATCGATCATTGTTAATTACCCCCTGTACACTCAAATATGCGTTTTGGGTGATCGTATTCAGTTGGACAGTGCTTGACCACATGATCATGGTCAGGGACACTTTGTCACCACATTGAACACAGCTGTATATGCAATTGTGATATCAAACAACATACAACAACTGTGTGGGTGGAAATAGTGTTCCAACCCAGCGAGGTAGCAGCCATTAGCCTGTTAGCAAGCTAAGCTATTTGAGACACTCGCGGATTGAGTCAAGTGTTTGCTTTCAGTTTGGTCGGACGAAAGTATACAAGCAAAACTCGGCAAGTCATGTCCCTTCTAAGACATTTATGAAGCAACGGCTACTCAAGTAGTAGACAAGGAAAGAAGGGATCTTAATGTGGACACTAGAAACACATTTTAACACCAGGTGTAACTTTAGTCAGGTAATATCTCGATACAGTCTGGATATGAGAAGCATTTTCAAATGGTCAGGATACAAACAGCAGCTCCCTGAGTTAAGGTGTTTTTGATCCATCCATTCAAACAACTACATAGACTAGTCGCTTTTATAAAAGCTTCATCTGATTTTCCTGTCCTCTGATGCTGCCATTCTTCTTGAGGAGACATTTATAAACCTCTTGCTCAAAAACCACAAAACAAAATCATTCTAAAATGTTTTAAAGAATCATCAGGTTTTATAGAAAGCTCCAGGGATGATGTTTTTCTATAGGCCGACACAGAAGTTAGCATTGCACTGGTTCCCGCTCCAAAACGCCGATGGTATTTTTCCATTGGATGTTGGGTTATTGCTGAAAGTAAGCTCTGTGGCAAACTAACATTCTTGATACTTAAACATTTTGTTCAACGAATATTCTTCACAAGTGAACACCACTTTCATAGTTATTGAAGCCTACATGTAAAACGCTAACGTCAGGCTAGAAACATACACTACGGTCGCATGACCTAATGCCACCACCATGTCAAGACCGTAAAGCCGTGATCAGATGATGTTCTGTAGTCTCATTCAGCCACTTGTTAACAGCTGCCTTTCTTAACACACATAGAAGCTTCACAGATCACAAGTGGGGTATTTGTTGATGTATTTTATGTCCTGACACAAAACATGAAAGTTTCTTAAGTTCGTGTTAATCACAGACCTTATTTTAAGCATCTATCCAAAAACCCATGGACTTGGAGACGAGGGAATAGTGAGTGGTAAAATCCAAACTCATTTCCGTGTTTTAGGACTCCTTGGGGCACTCTCTCAGTACGTTTACATGCACAGCTTAATCAAGCTATGCTCAAAATTAGATTTTGGCGTCTAATCGGACTTCTGTCCTTGTCCCAGTTTACATGCAACTGAGAAAATCCAATTACTGACAGGTACATGTCCTCCTCCTCAACACTAGGTGGCGATATGCGTCGTTTCAGCTGGTTAATACGGCCCCCTTTCCGGTTGACCTATTACGTCACTTAATAATAAACAACTGGAGTCAGGTGGCAGACCGGCATTTTCAAACAACAGCAAGATGGATAATTGTACAGCTTTGTTCATCTGGTACGTAATGTACACGTTACTGATTGTGCAGATAAGGTGCACGCTATCCCTCGTGGTCATGGTGATTTCAAGAGGCAGACAAGAACGCCGTATGCTGTTGGAGGGCTACAACAATAGCATGTCTTGTCTGTTCTGGGGTCGTACACCAGCGCGGGGGTGTGGAGCATGCGCACATGCATTGTCTAGTTTATCTCTGATTAAGGCGTATACATGCCGGAGAAAATCGAATTCCAATCGCATTATCTGGGTGTCTTAATTGGAGTTGGAGAACTCTGATATTAGTCGGAGTAATGTGTTTACATGCACTTCAGTTGTCCAGTTATAGTCGCAAGGCAATAATTCGTTTTTTCCAAGTGTCATGTAAACGTACTGTATGACAACTCTGCGTCAGTTGTTAGATGTTCTCACTAACATGTCAGCAAACACTTGCCTACACATTCAGCAGACAGCTATGTATCCACCTGAAGAATTCAAGACTAATATTTGGGCACCACCCACTCCTGAGAGAAATATGTGAAACTTCAGCTGCTAAATGTTCGACTGTGTTCATCAGCTGTTTGCATACTTTCTCTGTCTGCTGTTTGTTGCTGGGCAGGTGGTTTACCGTGGGTTTATCGGACCTTGTTGGGTCAATACGCCTGCTTGTGCTGAAAACCAGGCTGATGAGTGAAGTGAGAGTAAACCATACAGTAAACGTGCTGTGAATCCAAAACTATGCGCTAAAAGAGGCTAAAAAGCTCAGCAGAGCTGCAGGGTGAGTGAAAGTTCTCCGTGAGTTCATCACTGTGAGCGGCCCATTTCACATTACATGTACCTGCCAGGTATGATGAGACTCTTGTTACGCAACGTATACAGTAATGTATCGTGAGTTTTCCTGTGACTCAAACATACACACACTCCCCCATAGAGCGGGCTGTCAACATGATCAATCAAGCAGCTCTATATTTGTATGCGCTTTGTTCTTTGCTCAGTTTCCATGAGGTGGAAACAGGCCTACTGTTCTTGCTGCTGTGCTTTTGTTAGTGTGTGTGTGTGTGTGCGTGTGTGTGTGTGTGTGTCTGTTTGAGCTGTCAGCACTGGAAACTATAAAGGAAATAATTGCTCTGAAGCATTTTTCTTCCTGGGAAGTCGTCCTGTCTCCTGGGACATTGTTCACTCTCTTCATACAGCAGCTAGAAAACAAAACCTGATTTAAAGTATTTCAATGTGAAATGGGTGAAGGTTTCCTGGAAGTGGCCTCTGCATGAACTATGAAGACACAGAGCAATAAACAACATCTCATTATATGTAGCATCCGTCAGCTGCAGATCGTGGGCTTATTATGATTTCTAGACTTCAATACTTGGAGTGCAGCTCAGTTGTATTTACATTTGTTTAACATGAGTATTGAGCTGTGTGTCACGTGTAATGACCTTCATCTGCAAATCATTCGCTTTGATTTATAACTCACAGGCTCTAAAGCTGAAGCTAACTGAAGCACCTGATGGTCAGAAAAGCCTGTTAGCTCTGCAGACTGCTTTGAGATGGTAATGGACGTTTTGCTTTTGACTCAGGACTTTTAACTCACTAACGTTAAAGACAGGTGTCAGTTACATTAACATGTCTCAATAAGAGACATTGGGTTTGTTAGTAAAAAAGAAAAATTCCTCTGCCCCTGTTTGGGAGTACTGACACTTATAACTTCATGTTAAGATGACTTCCTCTGACTACAAAAGCAGTTTCTTCATCACATGATTTTATTCAACACATTATCTCCGTTCAGAACACCGATGTGTCGGTATCCAACAAATACTCACTCTGACTGGTCATGGACTTTCCGACGTGCAAGGTAACCTTAGAACGTTGGTTGCTGACAGTCTGGGACGCCGTGTCAAGCTCTGTCTGTCACATGCATCGTCTGTTTTCAAAATATACTTTCATTTTCATAGAAATGCACAGTTAAACACTTCAAGTAAACTGTTTCTTTCACAATAAACGCACTGTGTCAGGACAACAAATTTACATTTCATTCCTTCAACAACAAATGCACGTGGTTTTGTTTAGGAAAAAAGAACAGGGTTTGGCTTAACAAGCTTATGGGAAGCAAACACCGGCCTCCCGGGTGAAAGTCGGTGGTTGTTTGACCCACCCTACCTGATTTCCGTCAGCTTAATGTTCTTTGTTGTCACGGCGCATTTCCCCCAGAGGCAGCCAGGCAGTGTTGCTGATGTAAAAGGACATCTTTGTCGCCAGTGTCTGACGCTCAAAGTCATTGACCAAGCACCGGATTTTGACGACTTTGGAATGAGACCCGGTTGCAGTATCCGCCGCGGCAGCTAGTGTCATCCCATCGCAAGAAGGGCTCTTATTCCTTTCTATTCTTTATTCTATAGGCCATAAGTGTTTAAACCCAGAGAGACCTGTCTATGTGGGCTGACTGCTTATTAGAAATGCAATATTACAGGCTAGACAATGACACACACGCTACATTCACAACATTTCCATGCACAAAGTATTCTGATTTTTTGCCCTTATTCTGAAAAAGACAAAACTGCCTACATGGCTAATGAAAATTAATATTCTACTAATATTCCTGTTCACATGCAGCCGTGCATACTCCGATCAATGTGCGCTAACATGTTGTTTATCACATCAAAATATGAAGCTGGAGCCTCTTGTGTTATTTTGCTTCTTTGCATCAAAATGAGATTCTTTTTCAGAGTTTCAGAGTTTTTTTCCTTGACCATGTGAAGCCTTCATTCTTCATTCTTCATTCCTTCAACCACCTTCTTGAAAAGGTTGGCATTGCCATATTATCACATATCCAAAAACCTGTTGAAATCCAAGTCTTTTAAAGTAGACGTGTTTCTTCATCTGACCAAGAGTGTGGACTTTTCCTTTGGGCATGCATCTGCAGCCTTGCAAACTGTTGGTGAGTTGGTTTGTGTACAACATCTCCATAACAACACACAGAGCTAATTGTGGCAAAAACCCCAGTTAAGATGCAAATGTCAAATGGGCTGTATACATGTCCAAATAATGCTATCAAAACCCGAAGAATACTGGCCTATCCCATGTTGTAATCACAAAATGCTACATTTGAAAAAAGGAAAAGCCAAACAGAAAAGACCTGTATCAAATTCAGAATACTGTCATATTCAGAATAATAGGGGAATGTAAATGTACCCAGTGACCTCTGTCACCAGTAGCTCAGTTTTTACTGTCATTTACTGTAAACCCAGGTAAAATGTCAAGAGGGTATGAAGGAATGAAATAAGAGATACCACCCAACTAAACAGACATCTGATGATAGATGTGTGCAATATATCTGCATTGCATTCTGGTCTATTTATTGCTCCTGTGGGTGTAGAAATTGGTCCCTTTGTTTACTCTTCTTATATGGATCTCTCACACAAGCAGAGGATGTGAATTTTCCTTTCAGCCCCCACTCCTTGTCTGAAATATACAGATAATGTACGTTTTTTGACCTGGCGATGTGGCAATATAAAATAACTAAATAACTTATCCATACACAGAGCCTGGGTTGTTACAGATATGAAACAAAATAGGTTTATAACAGGGCTTTATGGTGGAGTTTGTTTCTCTGGCACACCTTATAGGTGAGGCACTACAACAGCTCCATCAGCTCCAGCTGACAGTAAAAGTGTAGTCAGGAGGCACAGATGCAGCTCAGATGAGATGAGCTAGATGAGTGCTGATGATCTCCAGGCAGTTTTTTGTCAGACAGAGTACTGTAAGAAGAGAGAGAGAGAGAGCGCACTGGGTGACTGTTTCCAGGTCAGTGGATCGGTAAAAATGCTAAAATATGCAATTAGCTCTGCATCATTTGGCAGCGAGTGGCAGAGTTGTGTGGTTGAACAAAAGCAGCGCTGAACACTGATCAGGGTGAGAGCAGGGAGGCTTTTTGGAAGGCAATATTTTTAGATTCAGTAATCTGCCCAGTGCCAGCGTTTGTGGCAGACGACTACAAGGTGAAAAATCCTGTGAAGCCTCAAACTATCATGACCCACTAAAACATTTTTAGGCAAGAATAAGACTAGTTCTCTTTTTACCCATTTAAAAAAAACATAAATAAACACAAATACAGTTTTTTTAGTATCCAGGCATCAAAAAGGAAAAATCAGTCATAGTATTAAACAAACAAAAAAAACAATGAAGAACAACAGTTCTGTGCAGTGTAAGGAGCTCTTAGCAGAAACAGGGGCAGGTTTTATTTCACAGATTGTCTCCTCTGAAGCTGCATCAGTAAAATGATTAAGACAGAAAAACAGAACAGACATCCATCTCAGGAGGGATCCCTCCGTCTTAATCCAAGTCCGACTCTAATCTCCCACCTGGCAGGCTCCTTATGCTGGAGTACATTTGTGTGTTTGTGTGTGTGTAGCGTGGGTGGGCGATAGGGCCCTAAAATGTAATCAAGATATTTCAGGAAATTTTTGTGATGATGACATTCTTGACAATATGATTCTGTTACAATATTAATAGTTCAACAAAATAAAATTGACCACAAATTACACATTTAAACAGCTCCCAAATACAAAAAATGTGGGATCTATATATATAAATCAACAGCTGATTTCCTTCTTTTAGTAAAATCCTAAATGACTGATTTGTTTTTTTCCACCTGGACCTTTATGCTCTGCCATTTCTCCTCTAATCATCACGCTGTAACCTGTGACAGGCTGTTATGATACCACAACTATCACACAGTCACATATATGGAGTTTATTGTCAAGCCGCAAGTCACGTAGATTTACATTACCAAAGGTTTATGACAGAATCACTTGACGACACCGACTCCCGTGTGTGCACGGTGAGAGAGGAGAGGGAGAGACGCTGTGCTGCTGCCAGAGGAGCCGCTGAATGAGTTCCCTCTGAGCGGTAAGTCACTAAAAGAGTCCGGGGCTGTTCATAAAACATTCAGGACGCCACAGTTTATTCCACACTACTGAAGCTGCTCCTCTTTTTGGAACCACCGTGGAGTCGGTAATTTCACTTACAGCCATGCTTGTTGTTGTCGTGGGTAACAGTATGCCGTCAATATGTCAACAAGTTGAAATATCGCGTATCAGGATATGGCTTTTTTGTATCCTATTAAAAATTATGCCGGTATTGTTGTGAACAAGATGATGTGGCACACCCCTAGTTTTAACCTCTTTCAGTAAGTGTAGTGTGTCTGTGTGTGTCTGTGTGTGTTGCTCACAGTCAAACTCTGATGTCTCTTCGTCAAAGTCACGTGTCGTCACTTCCATGTAGTCATTAATAAACACACACTGTATCTGAGTCACTGCCCTGAGCGGTGAGGTTCAACAAAGCTTTGCTCCCCAGATCAGTGCTGCCGTCTCCCACCTGCTGATTCACTCGTTACCATGGCAACAGCCTTGTTTCCACCTGGTGAATGTAGATGGGAAGTGAGTCATGTGTGGTGGTGGGTGGACAGAGGAGGAGGAGGAGGAGGAGGAGGAGGGAGGAGTGTGTGATCTTATTTTGGGCGACGTGTCATCATCACAGGAGTTTCCAGTTCTCCTTCCGTCTGTTTAAATCTGTCTTCAGCGTACGTCATCACACAGTCGCTTCTTTACACATCCAGCAGGGACAGAGCAACATTAGCTTTCATTTGGAGATGTGTTTGTGTGCATCAGGAAAAGTCCAATATTCACAATATAAAGGGTCCAATATAAACTCTGTACCACTGTGGTACCGTGAAACTGCGATATTTCCTGACACCGTGAAAAATCTCATACAGTTGCAACCCTAGTGTGATCAGAGGTGTGTTTGTTGCACCTGTGATGTCATTTAAACCAGAGAAGGTCAGCATAAACAAGATTTTTAAGCGGTGCGCTTAAAATAATAATATTCCTTTTTCAATATTTTTAGTGATAATGATGTTCATCCATTTTCTTTTCCTGTAAAACATTCACATTTTTTCCCCATCTGTTTAAAAAAAAACGATTAGGGGAGCTGAAACCGTTCTGTAGCACACAAAAAAGAAAGTGAAGTGTTTTGTGATTTGGATAACCTGATCCTTTCAGTCGAATTTGAAAGAAGGAAAAAGGCATTTGAGAAGTATTATTGTTTTTATAAAAGGCTCTCATCCATCAATCAACAAAATCCCCCAAAACAGGCTTGTGTGTGTGTGTGAGTGTGTTCCCAGTAGCTTTGGTAAAAGGTCTGGTTCCCTTTAAATGCACACCACGGAGCACAGACAAAAGAATCCCTACTCATTCAACAGAATAAAAGGTTTGTGTGTGTGTGTGTGTGTGTGTGGCAAGAGAGAGAGCGAGAGACAAAAAGTTGTGTACACTGAGAGTCTGGCTCCAGAACTCAGTGACCAAACCTCTCCTCTCTTTTCCTCTCTGTACTCTCCATCTATTTTTCTTTCTCACCACTTCCTTCTTCTTCTTCTTCTTCTTCTTCTTCTCTTCCTCCTTCTCTGCACTTCAACAGGACACATTAAACAACAACTCCCTCGGGAAGAAGTACAGTTGGCAGGAGAAGGTCTCAGGCTCGTCCTCGCCTCTGAAAACAGGTGAGCTTTTCTCTCCCACCACATCTTCACACCATGAAGCTCATATTGTGCTTTAACTGTGTGAATGTTCGTCTGCTGTTTGATAAGTGAGTCCAGAATTCTTCCTCTCGTATTATTAATCCCCGGGATATTAACTCAGCAGCTGCGTGGCTGTGTGATTTGCATTCAGTCTGGCAGGTTGTCTGATCCTCAGCGGACAGTGTTAAAGCTTGGATTAGCTATGCTAACCGTGGCTAGCTGAGGCAATGCTGTATACTGTGTGTGTGTGTGTGTGTTAGCTAGCTGGGAGCTGTCATTGCTCATTGCTACAGCTCTTTTCAGAGCACCATGTGAGGCGAGACAAACCACACTCACTGCCAACAGCTCACCACTGCTGGAACAAGTCATACAGTATATAACGGCTATAACTCATTTATAACTATAATGCTATAAGTCATTTTTAACCATCATCTTAGCAACTTCTTTAACATACAAGGACGACCGACCGAAGCCCCTGGGGGCCCCAAGAATAAACTTATGAAAGCAACAACCATCATTGCAAAATGTAAACTTATGTCTCCACAAATCGTCGGAGAAAAAGTCAGATTATTGTTTTCGGAAAGTTATGGTTAATTTGCTTTTTGTGTGAAGCGAAAATATGTAATTTTCTTTAATGGAAATTTCAGCAAATTCAGGCTGAATAAATGCAAATTTATATTCCTCAGTTTGTACATAATGTAAAATGATAGTGTATACATAGAGCTATGAACACCACACACACTACAGGCAGTTTTACAGCGCATGATTTGGCTCGTGCTTTGCTCAGGGCACACTTGCACACTTCCTGTCTGTGTTTGGGAGCAAAGGAAACACCTTGTACGAGAAGATTTTCCAGCTGAACGTTGGTCGTCCACAGCAGCAGGTTGAGTTTTTCTTGAAGTGATCAATTGAATGTGATGGTCATAAAACCCATTTATTGCCAGCAGATAACACGAGGAAATCAATGTCTGCTGCATCTGTGTTTCTCGTCTTCAAAATGACTTACATGGGCTGAGCTATGAATGTCCCCACCTCCCCTGATAGTGTGCAGTACTTTAAATTAGGACCCATGGCAAACGTGAACTCAATAAATAATACCATCTATTGAAACTGCACAGGTGAAAATAGGTGCTTTGTACTGGGGTCCCCCAGGAGGAATGGATTGGTACTTTTAAAAGCACTAACTAGAACAGAAACCGAAAACAAAGCTGCAAAGTCACTGGGAATGAACTGAAAAATTGGAATGCTTTCATAAAGCACCTGTGACATATGACAAAAGGGATACCTCTTGGGTCTGCGAGTACAGTTGGTAGGATGAGGGTTAAAACACATCCTGAGAAAAACAAGATAAATCAAATTGCCTGTTGTTTTATTCAAGCCATGGTGGCAGCATAGAAAATTGGAGCACACACCTACTATTCAATCATTGCCAGCCTTGTATTCCCACCAAATAAATAAGAATTAAGTCAAATAGATCTATTTTTATTGTGTTGTAATGTTTGTTTGAGTTGGTAACAAAAGAAAAAAGGACACACACACACACACACACACACACACACACACAGTATGCAGCTAATTTTTGATCAGCTAAAAATACTGAAGCGATCATTTTGGATTTTGGCATGGGGGGGTTGCGCTGAAATAATCAGGGAAACCAAATAGCATTAATGTCCAGTGTTGCTACATAAAATCAAGCTAGCAGCAGCTTTTGTTGGCCTTTCCCAGCTGGCCACCACCTTCTTTCCACACTGATATTTGGTTGAATTTAGTTTGCGATGTCTGGTGACCAAAATTCAGTGTCAGGACGATGTCTAGCGCCAACGTCAGTTCATGCAGAACACTGACGACACATGACGTTGATATTATGTTGATTTAAAGGTGTGTTGTTCAGTAACCAAAACCCAACGTCTTCCAAATGTCTCATGCCAACGTCATCGTGTTGTAGAATACCAACATTTAGTCCAAAGGTATTGAGAACAAAACCCACCGTCTGCAAAACATTTAAAATACTGTTGAGCGGATTTTCATGTCTGTCCAGTCCACCATCTTTCTGATGTCATATTGATGTCGGGTGCCAGCATGGACTTTTCAAAATCAAACTAAGATATCTTTAGATTTTTAACATTTTCAGGAGCTGCTTTTCTGGACATTGGCCCAATTCAGGGGAGCCATAAGTGCACCCTGTCCACTGTACTTTACAGTTTTAGAATTCTTGATGATTTTGCGACTGTGAAAATGAAGACAGACATAATGTGATACAACCTGCAGATTTGTTGAACACAACTGGTGCCATTTACAGGCAAACTAAATTACAATTACATAACATGGCCTCACAAGCACCAAGGGCTCATTTTAAGTTAAGATTGTTTGTTTTAAGGAGTCGTTTGAGAATTTTCTTTGAATTGCAGATCAAAGTGATTCAGTGCAGAACGAGTCCTCACAGCCCCGTGAGGAAATTCTGTTGTTTCCTGTTTAATTTAAGAGGGTTAATTGTTGTAACTTGATGGTGCATTGCAAAGTAACAGTTTCACAAATACACAAACCTTAACTCCTCTCAAGGCGTATTCTCAGTCGGCCTCCTGCTAAATGCTAAGGTTTGTTTAAACACTTACACAGAGCTCACCTGTCATGTGCTCTCCTGTGGACGTCAGTGCTGCATCATACACAGTGAAAAAATCATGCCTGGATTTCCTGGCGATGGATTATGACATAACGCATGAATCGCCTTCTCCTGGCTACACCATGATTTTGATGAGTAATGGGGATTTAGCTGCGTAATCCTGACATCAGTTACCTAACCATCTCTACTTCTCTCTTCCTGTTTGTGCTTTGCTTTATCTGCCTGTTCATTTGTTGTCATGTCTGCCTTCGTGTCCGTTTGATTGTTGGTCATGTCTGCGTTTCTGTACCATGTTTATCTGCTCTGGACGTGTGTGTGGCCTTTGTGCGCGCTTGTGTGTCTACGTGTGTGTTTGTGCGTGTTGCTGTTTGCGTCCGCTCTCCCTCCAGGTGAGCTCACCCCTCCACGTGAGCACAGCTGCCTGAGTGACGAGGACAAGGTGCAGGGCGGGGGAGCGCAGACCAAAGACCGCGGGACTTCCACTGACGCCCCCTGCAGACACAGCCACACCTCTGGACACTCGCACGGCTCATCTACAACAGCTGCCACTCGCTCCAAGCTTCAGGAGAAGCCGCCTGCTCCACCCCCACCGCAGAACTATACACCAGCTCCTCTATACCCGGCGGGGAAGGCGGATGGAGGCGGGAACCACCGGGAGAGGATCCGCTACCACACGGACGTTCATCTAGAGCCCACGGAGGAGATCTATCTGACACCTGTGCAGCGCTCCGCTGACCCCCTAGACCCCCCCAACGCGCAGGACCGGCCTTTCCTCTCGCAGCAGACTGAGCAGGGCCGCATGTCCATCAGCTCCGACACAGAAGGCCCACCACCATACCAGCCCCTCCCAGACCGGACAAACCCTTCCATCTATGAGGAGGACGAGGTCTATGTCCCCCCACCTTCATATGCTTCCTGTGTAGAGTCCCTCATCACGCCACCCAGCATGGCTCGCTCCTCCCTCACGCTGGACCTCAGCCAGAAGGGGGCAGGGACGGGGGCGGGGGTCATGCTGAGACCCGGGTCATCAGTGGAGTACGTGGACGCCACAGATGAAAGCTACTGTGGGGAGGACGAGGACGTGGACAGGATAATAATGGACGGAAGGATGAGAAAGGGGGGAGGAAATGGGGATGGCGGCAGCAGCAGAGTCCCAGTAAGGACTTCCATGAGCTCGGAGGCCAGCGGCCTTTCGTATGACTCCGTCAAATACACGCTGGTGGTGGACGAGCACGCTCAGCTAGAGCTGGTCAGTCTGCGGCAGTGTTACCAAGGCTACAGTGACGACAGTGACTCAGCCACCGTCTACGACAACTGCGTCTCTTCCCCCTACGAGTCGGCCATTGGGGAGGAGTACGAGGAGGAAGATGAGGAGGATGAGGACGGCGTTCAGATAGGAGGAGTGAGGAGAGAGGCCACAGCTTGTCTGTCTGAAGACTCCACTCCGGAGGTCGACCTGCACTTCTCCAAGAAGTTCCTCAACGTCTTCATGAACGGACGCTCCCGCTCCTCCAGTAAGTCCCCGCCATGATAATGATTATTTTTTTTAAATATTTATGTTGTGTTTCATGTCAAGAGAATCAGAAGTGATATGAGAGGTGAATGAGAAGTGTTGGGTTTGGCTTTTGTTAATAGACAGACATGCAGAATGCAAAGACATGCAAAGTGTAAGACACTTGTTTGCATATGGAGCAGCCTCACAATGCCTGTCTGATGTCACAGCCTCTTTTAAAGGGGATGTGTTATGCTCTTATGTTGTTACACTGATGGACGTTCATATAAAATATAACCAAAGTTTCAAATAATGAAGTAAACATAAGTACAGGTATTCCCTGTGAGCACAAACCTCGGGCTTCAGACCGTTCTGAAAACTGTTTCCAACATTTTTTTCCTGCTTTGGCTACAAGATGAAGACAGATTTCTTTTATGGTCATCTGCTCCAGGCTCGCTACTGAGAGTGTTTACATCACAAACACTGCTACATGAAGCTACATGCTAACGTCATGGGATCATGAGGCTTAATCCTGCTTTCTGATGTTTTTGATTTCTCCCTGATTTCGGATTACATTCCTGCTGGAACATGTCTGGTTGTAGTTCAGAAGCTTCTATTGGTGATTTTTGAAAATCTTTTTAAATAAAAATACTAAACTAGGCGTTCTGCACTCCAACACAGCCGCTTACCCTTACTCCTCTCTCTTACTCTCACTAATGTTTCCACTAGGTGTGCCATCATATCATTCAGGATAATAATTTTATAATTTTTGATAGTATTTCAACTTGTTGACATATTGTCATCATACTGTTACCCACGGCAGCAACAAACATAGTTAAAAGCTAAATTATTACCGACTCCGCTGTGGTTCCAAAAAGAGGAGCAGCTTCAGTAGTGTGGAATAAACTGTGGTGTCCTGAATGTTTTATGAACAGCCCCGGACTTCTCAGACTCTTTTAGTGACTTACCGCTCAGAGGGAACTCATTCAGCGTCTCTCCCTCTCCTCTGCGCCGTACGGTGTCGTCAAGTGGTTAAACCTTTGGCAATTTAAACCTACATGACGCTCACGGCTTGACAAAAAACTCCATATATGTGAATGTGTGATAGTTGTGGTATCGTAACAGCCTGTCACAGGTTACAGCATGATGATTAGAGGAGAAATGGCAGAGCATAAAGGTCCAGGTGGAAAAAAAACAATCATTTAGGATTTTACTAAAAGAAGGAAATCACCTGTTGATTTATATATATAGATCCCAGGGGACATTTTTTAATTTTTAATTAATTAATAATAAATTAATACTTATATATTCAATGTCATATAATCAAGAAAATCGTTACCGCAAAAATACCCTGAAATATTGTGATATTATTTTAGGTTTTTTACCTGCAACACGTCACCTCTCATGAAATTTCAGAACTCTTTTTCACAAGACTTCTCCCTTAGTTGGACTTGGTCACAATAAAGTGTCCAGTAAAATGTAAAGAAATGAACGGAAATTGGCCGTGCACAATTGCCCATAGAGATTGAATTGCAGCCTGTTTTGCTGCTATGGCAGGAGGTGTATCTTTCAATACTGTACCAGTTTTAAAAACTTTGGTCTCCCTTTGTTACTTATACATAAAACATGACAAAATAGGGTCCAGGTTGAAAAATACTCAAGTTTTGCTTTAAAATCCCCCCATAAAGACTTGTGTGAAGCACACAGTTACAGCACACAGTAACACAGCAGTGGATGCTGTCTGGGTGAATTGGCAGCATGGTGGGAAAGGCTTAAAGCGATGTGGCTGATAAAGCAAAGTCACAGAGATGTTCAGGTGCTGGAATATTCTCATACAGCACAGATCATCATCATCATCCACATGACATGTAACTCTGGATATTGTGACTGTGTGTCTGCAGAGTTAGATTCAACTCTATCTTGTAGAATCACATTTTAAGTTGGCTGAAGAAAAGGATTTGGAATTTTATTTCATCATGCCAGTGGCTTGAAGATAAACCTATGAAATCATTGAAATTTAAGCCACAATGCCCGGCACAGCTTCTGAGTGTTGTAAATGAAAGCTGTGTTTTTTGCTGCTTTGTTGATGTCGTTATCAGCATTCTGACAGCAGCACGTTCAGGGCTGAGACCCAGCTGGATGTTTAAAAGGCCTGCTGGGTGGAGGGACACTGAGCCAAAAAACAGCGAGCACATTCATGGATTTGCCTTTCTCTTCCCTCTGCTGTTCAGACCAATCACACATTCAAGAAGAGTTAGCTGAGTCTTGTTTTAGGCATTAACACAGTGGCAGTCCTAAAGACGGTGTTTGGAAAAACTGAGGAAGAAAAGAGGCAGTATTTCTCTATTTTTATCAGGCTGGACACACTAAATATTTGGTCACCACCGTGTGTATTTTTGACTGCTTCAATTTGTAATCTTTAAGATTTTCAGACCCCATGTTGTTGGTCAAAAATGACACCTGATCCTCAAACGCTGCAGTGTAAACAGACACAAGATGCCCTGTTGCATTTTTGACATCTATTATGCTCATTTTCACATTCATACCTGTTCTAGTAGAAACCCAAAATACATATTTACATGCTTTAATGGTCAGCAAAAACAATTTATTTTCCTCATGCCATCTGTGCTGGAACACCTTTATTCACCCTGTCTAAGATGCTCTGTTTTAGTGCCTGTCTCTTTAAGAGCCCCTCTCAAACAGCCCAATCTGCTCTGATTGGTCAGTGTTTTCAGTTCCTCTGCATCTCAGTATCTCTACACCATTATTGTAGCCAGAAAATGACTGTAATGACTAATAGTAGCATTCTACCATAAAGAATATCGCTAATTAAAGCTTTTAAACACAACCACATATGTTTCAGCTGGAATCTGATCCGAAATCGAGAAGAGATTTACATCGGCAACCAAAATTACATGTGTCTGTGACATTAGCATGTAGCTACATGTAGCAGTGTGCCTGGAGCAGATGATCATATAAAGAAATCAGTCACAAGCTGCCGCTCAGCTTCCAAACGGTGGCAAACAAAGTATTCAGAATGGTCTGAGGCCTGACATTCCCCACAGTGCAACTCAACAGCTGGCAGTTTGGTCAGTGATTTGAATGCACTATCTTAAGAGCGGCTAAGGTAGCCTGAAGCAGAGATGAAGAGCGGGCTGTGTCCATGCTCTAAGGCCCTGTGCTTTACTCCCAACTGAAAACACTGAAAACATCAGGCTCCTCAGGAATGGCCCAGCTGGGCACTTGGAGGCACAGCTACTTTCCAGCTGAGGTGCTTTAGTTGTGTCTGGTTGCTATGATGCAAAATATCTATGGAAGTAAGCATTTTGGCAAAAGGTAGTGTACTTGCTGTGGATGAAGGGAAGGCTGAAGCATGCAGGGAGAGAACGGACCCATTAGTCTGTGTGGGTTCATGAAAGGAACATATCTTAGTATATATACAGTATATTAAAGTACTTCTCCATTGTTTTTGATCAGCACTTGTACATGTCAGATGTGATGGTCTTGTTGGTATTTGTCCCTCCTCTACTGTGATTTAATGGTGGGTAAAAAGTGACAGTGATGAGCGTAGCATTTTACCCCAACTTAGAATTCACGCTCAGTGCCTCGTCATGTGGCTGGCTTTTGTTCAGTAGCATAAATACGTAAAGAATATAAAGGGCAACAGCTTGTGTCAGTTTTCTTTTAAGATCTGCTGCTTTCCCCGACTGTACCTTTGTGGTCTCCCAGAGAAAAATAAAGACCAAGACCGAGGTAGGAGAGGATGACGGATTGTAGGATTTACCTTCATTGGGCTGATCCTCACCTTGGGAAAACAGTAGGAGATATCAGCAGTGAGTCAGACACTGACCCAAATCACAGTGTCTGTGGGTGTGAGGCAGCTGGCAGTAATGGGCAGGACTGAGGATTCCTATGAAAGAGATGCGTCTATAATGTATGTGTGGTCATTTCCTCTAATAGTCCTCGCTGTTCTCTTGGATGCCATCCATGTGTTTCACAGACTCATTAGAAACACCACAGCGGTTTATCTGAACAGTACAGGAGGGGGTAACGGATGTCTCAGGGGAACGTAGGTGGAAATACACAATGCTCATCTGTTTCATGCCTAATTAAAGTGTGATTCATCGCTCCTACAGAATGTGTGTTTGCTTTAAAGTGAACACAGTGCACTCTAATTGTCTTTTCTGTTTGTATATGATGGACTTTTGTTGCAATAAGAAGTCGATGTCATTAATCTTTTTATTAGCTGAACACAGGCTGTCACTTCACACTGTGTTACTGCCCCGTGTCATTTTTCCTCATCTCTTTTCTTCTTCTTCTTCTCTGGTTTTCAAGGTGCAGAGTCCTTTGGCTTATACTCTTGTGTCATAAATGGAGAGGAGAGGGATCAGAGCCACAGAGCCGTCTACAGGTGAGGAAGAACTGCATCATCATCACCATTACCATCACTAACATCATCCTTATTAAATATCATTTTGCTCAACACATCACACAAGCAGTCAGGGAATCAAATTTATTGACTCAGGACCATGGTTGCTTAGTATGGAGTACAAATGAAATACAATAACAATCCTAGACATAAAAAATGATTTACACAAAGTGCATTAGTCAAAAAGACACCTATCCATATTTAACTTTTTATTTAACCAACTGTAATAACAAAATGATCCCAGACGTAAAGGTTTGTCTTCATGCTCATATTTGTCATCCTGTGTTGTTACCTAAAAGCATTCTTTACACCCTACACAAGCAGCCATTTTTATTCTTCTTCACTCAACTTAAAATCAGTGTAGGCATTATGCAGCATGTCGTCCAAAATAATGAAAAAAAAATCATAGTATAGCATGTTGTCCAAAATAATGAAAAAAGTCATAATATAGCATGTAGTCCAAAATCATGAAAAAAAGTCATAGTGTAGCATGTCGTCCAAAATAATGAAAAAAAAATCATAGTATGTCGTCCAAAATCATGAAAAAAAGTCATAGTATAACATGTCGTCCAAAATAATGAAAAAGTCATAGTATAGCATGTCGTCCAAAATAATGAAAAAAAAATCATAGTATAACATGTCGTCCAAAATAATGAAAAAAAGTCATAGTATAGTATGTCGTCCAAAATAATGAAAAAAAAATCATAGTATAACATGTCGTCCAAAATCATGAAAAAAAGTCATAGTATAGCACGTCGTCCAAAATCATGAAAAAAAGTCATAGTATAGCATGTCATCCAAAATCATGAAAAAAAATGATAGTATAACATGTCGTCCAAAATCATGAAAAAAAGTCATAGTATAGCACGTCGTCCAAAATCATGAAAAAGTCATAGTATAGCATGTCGTCCAAAATCGTGAAATAAAGTCATAGTGTAGCATGTCGTCCAAAATAATGAAAAAAAAATCATAGTATAGCATGTCATCCAAAATCATGAAAAAAAATGATAGTATAACATGTCGTCCAAAATCATGAAAAAAAGTCATAGTATAGCACGTCGTCCAAAATCATGAAAAAGTCATAGTATAGCATGTCGTCCAAAATCGTGAAATAAAGTCATAGTGTAGCATGTCGTCCAAAATAATGAAAAAAAAATCATAGTATAGCATGTCATCCAAAATCATGAAAAAAAATGATAGTATAACATGTCGTCCAAAATCATGAAAAAAAGTCATAGTATAGCACGTCGTCCAAAATCATGAAAAAGTCATAGTATAGCATGTCGTCCAAAATCATGAAAAAAAGTCATAGTGTAGCATGTCGTCCAAAATAATGAAAAACAAATCATAGTATAACATGTCGTCCAAAATCATGAAAAAAAGTCATAGTATAACATGTTGTCCAAAATCATGAAAAAAAGTCATAGTATAGCATGTCGTCCAAAATAATGAAAAAAAGTCATAGTATAGCATGTCGTCCAAAATCGTGAAATAAAGTCATAGTATAGTATGTCGTCCAAAATAATGAAAAAAGTCATAGTATAGCATGTCATCCAAAATCGTGAAAAAACCTCATAGCACCGTGGGTTTTCTCCAGGTACTCGACTCCCTCCCACAATCCAAAGACATGCAGGTTAATTGGTGACTTTAAATTGGCCATGGGTGTGAATGGTTGTCTGGCGACCTGTCCAGGGTGTACCTCACCTCTCTCCCAATGTCAGCTGGACTAGGCTCCAGCTCCTCCACGACCCCCAACAGGATAAGCGGTTATAGAAAATGAATGAGGTGCTTGTTGATAGTCTGTAATATTTTCACCTCTTGACCTTTCTGCCAGACAGCCCTTTCCGATGGGGAACTAAACTGTTATATTGCTGTCTTTATCAACACCAGACTCCTTTGTTTTTACCTCACACAACATGGGAGCTGGTAGTCTACTTCTGATTTGACTTGTCGTGTTATAGTATGACTTTTGCTCCCAAACTAGTGTGGTGTCCACAGCAGTATACCGCTTAGCTTACATGCTGGCTGGGGGAAGCTCCTACAAAGAACTGATGACAGACAATTCTCAAACAAGGCTTGGCTTAGTCATTTGGAGGCTCTGAGGGCTGGCAGTGTAATATGTAGCTACTTTATCAGGCAGAAACCTCCGTCAAGTCACATGGGAAAACATTTTAAGAGGGGCTAAGGGGAAATAACATTTTGACACTTAAACATGTACAGGACCCAAAGTTTATAGATTTGGATTTGAAAACATAAGGAACCAAATGGTAAGCTACCCAATGATATAAAAACTAACTACAACCTCCTAGCAGGATGCTCATCTCCAGCAGTCATTTTTCTTTTTTTGTGTAGTTGTTGGAGCAGAAAATGCTGCATTTCCTCATGTTTCCCCCGCTACAGTCACACTCCAGTTGGCAGTGTGGAGTTACAGCTGCTGTTTAAGACCTCAGGCTGATAGATGCATAGGGGGGAGAGAAAAACAGCAATGCAGTCATGTGAAGAGCAGCATCTTTGGGCGCTGACAGATCATATGATGTGCAGGACGTCACCCATGCATAGCTGAGAGCAGGGGGCTTGTTACAGTGCTGCAGGTTTCCAGTTTGTGTGTGTATAATATTCTTTATTTTTGTAGCGCCTCTGTGGCATCACATCTGACAACATTAGGCTGAATGTTTGATACCCAAAACAAAGGTTTTCAGAGAACTGTTCATGGTGCAGATGCTGCTGTGTACAGTGGTGATCCAGCTCATAAAAATCCTGTGAGGTCCTTCGGATCATCTGCATAATTACATCTGTCTTGACAGGTTTGTCCCACGCCATGACGACGAGTTGGAGCTGGAGGTGGATGATCCGTTGCTGGTGGAGGTCCAGTCAGAGGATTACTGGTATGAAGGCTACAACATGCGAACTGGTGCCCGTGGGATCTTCCCAGCTTATTACGCCATAGAAGTGAGCAAGGACACAGAGACTTACAAAGGTAATGACACCGCCACAGTTATTAATTATAAAGGGCTGAATGTGTTCGTAGAGATGCTGAAATGTCTTTGACATTAACTGAAACTGTACACAAGACCACTGTATGAGTCAGCATATCCAAGGCCAGCTTTTTAAAAGCATATTTTTTGCTAATTTTATAACTCTTTTAGTTGTGTTTGTCTCAGATTGTAGAAAAGTATCATGGTTTTTAATTTCTTCAGCCAATGACAAGGTGTATCACTACAGTTTCAGTTTCTGACGTTCAGAAACTGGAACTGTAGTGATACACCTCATGTATTCCTGCTTGTACTATAAAGTCCTGCTCCATTTAAGCCAGCATTTGTTCCTCTAGCCTTGGCCAAACAATAAACAGTATTTCCTCAGTGGGTTTCTTTAACAGGTCTTTTTGTAAAGCTAAAATATGATCAAATGATGTTTTCTGTCCGTATTCTTACATAAATGAGCATCTACCTCAGCACTGGCAGGTAAAAATCAAATACCTAATTATTTTCTTAGCATTAAGTGGAAGTTGTCGTGGGAGAATACTATAATTTATTATATATTTGTCAAAATAATTAGGTGCTGGGGCGAACACTAGCTCATCCGGTAGAGCAGGTGCCCCATGCACAAAGGCTGTGTCCTTGCCACAGAGGCCATGGCTTCCATTCCAATCCACGGCCCTTTGCTGCACGTCATCCCCCTCTCTCCTCCTCACGCTTTAGCTGTCCTATCAAATAAAGGCAAAAAGCCCCAAAAAAATATCTTAAAAATATAATAATTATGTCTTAAAATATAACTAACTTACAGCCATAGCTTGCCGCTTGTTGTTGGACAGAAAACTTATTATTTTATTAAGTAGTAGTATTTTATTAAGCCTTTATTTAGGACAAGTAAAATCACTCATTTTTAAGTGCGACCTGTATCACAGCAGCAACATCCACATACAGGGCAACAGACAATACAATACAAACATTTACATTAGATAAAAGGACATCAAGATAAAAGTGCTAAGAACGAGAAGAGGGTCAACTTGGATTACAAGAGCAAATCATAGATGCACTCTCAATATTCCTCAACAACAGTTTACTTGTAAGAGGGATCAAATCAGAAGCTAGCAGAGCAGATGTTAACCTGGTTAGGTTTGGCTGGACTTCGGCTCTGTATTCACTGGAGATCCAATAAAACTAATTGGTAAGGACTCAATACTGAATAATACGGAAACAAGACACAGGAATGAAAAATGAAGAATGGAAATGCTTGTTAGTTAACTGACCCATCTGGTAGAACTAAAGCTGATTGTAGGTTCAGATGATGTAGAGCTGAAAATGAATCGTGATCAGTCAAATGACACACACGCTGCTGATCCAAGTAATTTCTCAAGGAATACACAATAAAGTTTTTAAGATTTTGTCCCACGGGATAGTAACTTTAATATCTTTGGTGTTTGGACTGTTGATGAAAAAACAAGTAGTATGAAGATGTCACTTTGACCTTAAAGAAATTATGCATTTTTCATCATTTTCTCTCTAATTTAGCGGCGTAACAATAATTTAAATAATAAGCACATTCAATAATAACAAAAGTCATTTAGTTACAGCCCCGTTATAAAAGAGATTTAATTCCACCCAATTTATTTTCCCTATTTTAATTTAAAAATGCACCCAGCTGTGTTTAAATTATGAGCATGGGTGAGGAACTATTAGATTTAGACAATTATTCATTTGGAAAGTGAGAATAATTTGCCTGATCTGCACTTTGTGAAAGCTCTAGTTGAGTATTAAAGTTGGATTTATGTTCAGATTATAGGGACAGTTCACCCCAAAATCTAGGTGCTATTCATCAGTCTATATTATTAGATTATTACAGTGTGAGGTGCTGAGTGTTGGAGATACTGTCGGTTGTCTGCCTTCTCTCTTATACGATGGAACTATGTGGCGCTCGGTTTGTGGTGCTCAAAGCGCCATCTCTACACCCAATATCTCCAACACTCACCAACTCACATGAAAACAATCTAAACTGATAAACAGCACTACAGAAGAAAAATGTGTTTTTGATTTGGGGGTAAACTGTTCTTTTTAAGGTCACAAAAGCACCCAGATTCACCAGGTTCAGTTCCCAGCTTTGTTGTCCCACAAACACAAGCAGTAATGTTTGTGGGCAGGACACCTGTGTGTGATCATGTACAGACGGGGCTGTGATATATGAGGTTAACATGAAGCCCTACAGGTGAAGCACGGTTACAAAAAAAACACAGGCAAAGTTATAACAGATTGTGATTTACATGCGTACGAAGTCATAGTGGAGAAGAAACAATTAACAAGTACAGAGTCACTGGTACTGATCAACAACCCCATTAACTCCCAGCAGGTATATTTTTGTTCCCGTGCTGCTGTGGAAAACAAAACTAAACTTATTTTAGTGCTGAGGTTTTAGTGGCTCTTTTAGTGCTAAATACATTACTGCCACCTCTTGTATGTTATGATGTCTGTTGCCTTTGGTTATTATTTCCTTGGTATTGGATCTTATTCCATGCTTTGTCTCTTTCCTGTGCAGTGAAGAGCAGTGAATGGATGGACAGATACAGGCTCAAGTTCTTGGGATCAGTTCAAGTCCCCTTCCACAAAGGAAACGACGTTCTGTGTGCAGCTATGCAGAAGGTATGAGGCCAATGTGGTGCACATTTCTCGACTACTATAGTAAAGCAACATTAAGGAGAGATAAACACCATAACTACATCAGTTATTGTCCCAGAATACTTAGGTAGAAGACATATGGCATGATGCAGTGGTTCTCTAATGGTGACGCCAGGGTCTGGAACAATTATCTTATGGCGTGATAAAGGTGATAACACAGGTTATAGAAGCTACTGTGCACATATATTAATACAGGTGTGCCTTGAGATTTTGGCTTTCCTTTTGGTGTACCTTGGGCTCAAAACGTTTGAAAACCACTGGCATAATGCATACAATAACACAGGAAGTACACCATAAACTGTTTAACAACTGACACGCTTCACTTTCTAAAGACAATTGAAAATGATTACACAATAACTTAATATCAAGCATTTGGAAGATGCAGAAAACATGCAGACGGCACGTGCCACCTGGGACTTACCTGATTGAATACAGGTTTATAGTAAGAATGTGCAACACACATCAAAAATCAAGGAGCTCCTGGAAAAAAACAGCATTAAAGTAAACTTCCAAGTTAAGTTTTCAGACTTTAATTTGACAGGAGCTCTTCAAAATCACAATTTGACTGTTTGTCATAAAAGTACTACCAACACTGTTAAAACTTAATTATTATAATTAACTTTGGTATCATCATCTAGTATAGAATTGGGTTGCACGTTAAAAGTGTCTTTTTACATTATAGGAGTCATCATTCACATTTATTTTCCAGATTGCCACCAACAGAAGGATGACAGTCAAGTACAACCCGCCTTCCTCCTGCATCCTGGAGATCAGTGTGAAAGGCATCAAGCTTGCAGTTCAAGAGGATTATTATGCCTGTGACAGAGTGAGTCCTCCTCCTCCTCCTCCTCCTCCTCTCCCTCAGTCTGTCTGATGGAAAATAAATAAAGTGCAGCTTCCTGAGGTTTCGTAAAATAAGGGCTCATCTTCACACCAGAATCACATTTAACTGTTGACGTATGTCGCCCTCGTGTGGCTGTCAGTAGAGACTGCAGGCCAGGGAAGTGTTTGTTTTTTTTTTTTTTTTTTTTTAGGTGGAGATTAAACCTATTTTCATCCTGAGCACTTTTAAACTTCTGTTCCTCAATATTTCAGAGAGAAACATTGTATTATTTTAACTAGTGCAGTTATGTGAAAGCTGTTTAGATGAAGATTTTACATGCTTAACATATAAACTATGACCTGTGTAATGCACATACTAGTTTCCACTCCACATGGGCTTGTCAGACATAAAATGTTGTTGCAGTGAACATCTGACACAAAAAGGCCCCTGTCCTAAAACACAACTCATATTTTAAAGTCATCCGACCAAAAATTAACAGTGATCAAAGACATTTAAAGTACAACCCTAAAACAATCAGACCAATAAAACATAACAGTGACTTCAGTCTCATTGAAATCACATAAGAAAAAAAGCCTTTTCTATTCAGTCTTGTATTTGTGGTTAATGGTATGAAAAAAAAAATACCAAAAGTGTGCATACATAAAAACACATTCAATTGTGCACAGAGATCTTTGACTTTTGTCACAGACTATTTTATGATCATGTCCCAGGGATGGGATATTAACTTTTTTGTCCACCTGCCACTGTGGCATGTTAGATGTCCTCTCAGAAAACCAGTGCAGTTTGGCAGTACTTTGATCTAGAAAATGAATTCAGCAGCAATTCATCTTTTTGAGATGTTCTATTATTTGTTAACTTTAAGTGAGTTGTTGTCAGATAATGTGCAGGTTTACATTCATATTGCATGGAGCAAAATGCCTCTCATTTCAGCTGAAACTTAATTATAAATTAATGTTGTTTTATTAACTTTAAAGTGAATTGCAATCATTTCTGTCAGATAATCTGCAAGGTTCAATGTGCCCCACATTTCAGGGGCAACTTTTTTATTTTAGATGTTATTTTAGTGGTTAACTTTTGACTGAGTTGCCGTCATGTTCACTTTCATACCGCAGGTGCAAAGTGTCTCGAACTTCAGCGGCATTTAAAATCCAACATGGTTGTTGAAGATTGTGATTAAAGGCATCAAAGGACTCTTAATGCACACAATATTTTTGGGACAATGTTTCAAATACTTAACAATAAACTGTGCTAAATGATTCAAGTGTTTCCTTTTTTTTTGACTACTTTTGTACTTGTAGTTCTACTCAAGGAGCTTTTAAAATGCAGGACTCTTGCTTGTATTTTAAATATACAATAGTTAAATATTAATTACATGCAGAGTCTAATAGGGCAAAAATAAGCAGACATTTATTCTTCCTCTTTTCTGTTCAGAGTAACGAGTGCAGTCACTTCTTCCAGTTAAAGAACGTCTCCTTCTGCGGCTATCACCCCAAAAACAGCAAGTAAGTAAAGACTGAGAACTCCAATCAGGGACTGTAATGTCATGTCATGTCAAATTTTCTGTACTGTGTCACCAGAATAAAACAAAGACCGTAAGAAACTGTCATGTTTTCACCCTCTGCTAGTGCTCATCTGCAGAGACCAAACATTAAGTCACCACAATGTGTCGCTAGAAGTCAACAAATGTACCAGACTTCAGACATAAACTGGATCTTGACTGCCTACTGATCAAATGTGAAACTTTATCATTAATACATGACAGAAAGAATTAACTATTCATCAAATAAAGGTGATGAAAATACCGGCTTCCCACTCTGAGGTGCCTAATCTGTGTTCCCCGTCTTCTCTGAAGGTATTTTGGTTTCATTACGAAGCACCCAGCGGACCAGAGATTTGCCTGCCATGTGTTTGTGTCTGAAGACTCCACTAAACCTCTTGCAGAGTCAGTAGGGTGAGTAAGACTTTCTGTGCATTAGCTCTAAGATATGAAAGTCCAGGTAAAGCAAAAACAAATATGTGCAATGAGTCTGTCACACCACAGAAAAATGTGTCAGTAACCACCCAGTCAAATGTGAATGATTAAAAAAATTGCCTTGTGTATAAAACTAACTTTCAAAATCATGAAAAAAAAAATAAAAAATTCTCTGTTCTGAGATGCTGGAGGTGTGTCTGCTGAAGGAGCTGAACAATGATCCAGTTGCTGCAAAGTGGCAGACTTTTGTTAGAAGCTAACTCAGCAGCACAAAACACACACACCCTAAGCTGGAGAGCGAGTCTCCACACAGCTCTTGTTAGTAGTTATTTCTACAGTGACCATTGTATCATCTTAGTTGAATGTCATTTCAGTGTAATGTGGTGCTTTTCCTTTTTTCTACAAAAGAAATTGCTAGTTTGCCAATAGCTAGCTCACATTAAATTGTTGTTGCTGATTTGTACATGACATTGTCACATCATATTTCCCTCTCTTTGATGGCATATTGACACCCGAAATTTAACAAAAGTCCATTGTCCGAATTGACCTTTCGTTAAGCCCCGCCTCTCTGTAATGGTCTGTCAAGCCTTCAGAGTAAACATGAAGCCCACACTGTAACTAACTGCACTCCCTGAAGAAATATTATCATATTTTTGGAACAATGAAAGAGTGATTCCAGAGAGAAGCAGACAGAGGGGTCTACAGTCTGTGTTTGAAGAATTTATCCAGGATGTCAAACTGACTCAGCAGCAACAACAGGTTAAAAAGACAAAGATAGTTAGAAGCTAAAGCTGAACTATAGGCTACAGATCACAGTGTAAAAGTGAACCACCACATCACTGCTGATCGCCACACAAGACAATGAATATAAAGGGAAACTTTGCTAATATTGAACCAGCTGTGTGGCATCGCAGTGTGTGCAGATGAACAGTGTTTGGCTTCACCCCTGTGCCACTGCCAGCAAACAGACTTCCGCCGCTGGACAGGCAGGGATCTCTAAACAACATTCATCTGCGCACACTGCGATGCCTCACAGCTGGTTGAATATCAGCAAAGTTTCCCTGCTTCCCTTCACTGGTTCCTGTACAGCAGGGTCGCTCTTTGTTTCACTGTTATAATCATTAACAATCAAAAGCAGCATGTGTATACATTCAGCAGGCTATATTTTCAGTAGCTAGCTAGCTAACCCTACACTTTTCAGGGTTTGATTTTGGAACAGGGAAGAAACGTATGTCTTTTTCCAACCTCTCCAGGTAACAAGTATCATTAATACACAACGTGCCCCAGGCACAACATTTAGCTCCAAATCCACAAAACCAGCCTGAAAATGAAGTAAATCTGAAGCGACTGCATTAGAGTCAGTGGAGCACAGCTGTGTTGTTGGACCCTGGTCTGAGCCAGGGATTAAGCGAAGGGCCAATTGATAGCTTGAAACACAAGTTTCTGAACAGTTCACCAGCATCCTGACAGTTACAAAAGCCTGCCTATAGAGCACCTATAAGAAATCACCACGGCGGAAGACAGCATATACACAACATCCAGAAACAACTGTTGTGTATGTTCACGTAAACGCCAGCATCAACAATTAATGATGTAATGATGAAGGGTTGTCCCTTCTACCCTCACCCTCTACGCCATGTGACTCTGTTCCCAGGGACAGGGTGACAAAATGACGTGTAGATGTAAAAGTAATATGTGGAATCTGACCTTTGACTCTCAATTGGGCGCTGTAAGAAAAAGAGTGTGTACTTTTAGTGAGTACTAGAAATGACTGAAGTCCATGTCTCTGTTTTGCAGGAAAGCCTTCCAATTGTACTATAAAGAGTTTGTGGAGTTCTCGTGCCCCACAGAGGACATCTACCTGGAATAGCCCTGACCTGCCTTCAACCACAGCCCTGTACAGTACACTGTATCATAGCATAATGTTGCATGAAGGACAGACATATCTAAAATAAAAAAGAAGAAGAAAAATTAAAAAACTAACACATCTGACAAAAAAAGCAGGAAAAGAAGGATCATGTTTTGGAACTGTGGTGAAACTTCTGTGCAGCAAGAAGAGATGAAAATGAGCCAAAGGAGGAGTATCTCGAGGGAAGAAATATGCAAAATGGAGTCAGTGATGAGGTGGTGACCGCAGGCTGTCAGTGGAAAGCACAAACATTTTATCACCGCAGCCTTGGCAGCACTAATTAGCCTGTAGCGTCATCTCAGCAGGTGCAACACTGAAAGCCCCAGAGTCGTACTAGACTGCATCAGCTTGTTTTTGCACTTGACAAAAAAAAAAAAAAAAAAAAAAAAACCAGCAGCTGAGATTTGGAAAAATTTCCACATGATGAGTTTGCTTCGACTTTAAACATTTAGGGTCTGAGCACAAGGCGGGTGTATATTTACTGAATAAAATCCTCACACTGAAAATGTACACTAAGCGATAAAAATCCATGTAGGTACAGAGACCTTTATCCTCGTAGCACACCAGGTGTGAAGGTGATATCCACATTGTTTAGTGGCAACAAGAAAACACCCGAAAACACTGTTAGTAAAGCAGCTACAGGTGATGTTCTGTGCATTTTGGGGTCACTTTTAGATGTTTGGTGAAGAATGTAGACAATTTCATCAGCTGTTTGACAGCATAAAAATTGTGTAACTTTTGGAGCATCACCTGAAAACAACAGGTTTTGGTGTCCCTAAGGCTCTCTACACATGGTCTGCAGTATGAGCTGTGCACACAGCAATGTGGGGCTCAGAGTCAGGTGCACCAATGTGTGCAAAGTAGCAGGAAGACAGTGTATTTCAGTTTAACACAAAGATGGGTAAGAGCCTGATTAGAGCTGAAACGATTAGTCAAATTCTAGATAAGGCGATCCACAAAGTTAGTCAGCAATCTTTGTGTTACCCAGTTAATCATCGCCGTATTTTTTAAGCAAAAATGTTAAAAGAAAATCTCTGGTTTCAGCTTCTCAAATTTTATTTTTTGCTGGTTTTCTTGGTCTTATCTGATTTTAAACCTAATATTTTGGGCACATTTGGATAAAAACAACAATTTCAATGTGTCAACTTAGGCTTTGGGAAATTGTGATTGCCATTTTTACTTTTTTCAGACAAATAATTCATTGATAATGAAAATAGTTAGTTAAAGCCTTACACCCAATGATCAGGAAGGGTTTAGGTACATTAAAGTTTTTATTCCTTCATGGGTCACTCTAAAACAAGGTCAACATTGTAAGTGACTGATTGGAGGTGTAACCTACACGTGGTGTACAACGCCCAAGGTAGCACAGCTTCGAGGTGTGTTTATTTTCTCCATTGGCAAACAGTAACCGTGCAATTAATCAATTATCTGCTGCAGATCATGTGTGGAGGTCCTTGTGCTGTGTTCACACTACAAGACACAGAGACAGTGTGCCTGACTACATTATCGCCAAGTTGTCATTTAAGTGTTGTTCAAGAGCTCATTAACACGGTTGTCACCACAGGCTTGTGTGTGCTACTTGGCACAAAGCGCTTCAACTAAACATACTCTAAAGTTTGTATTTGGACATAAAATGTCTATTCTTGTAATCAGTGTCTGAGCCCCATTTTTACATCACATTTCGCCGCTCCATGCATCCATGTGTGCTTGTGTCTCGTCTCTTGTAACTAAGCTAGATGACATAGCATTCTGGGAAATGTAGGCAATTACTAATTGGAGTAAAATGAGAAAAAGCAGGGTAGACAACACTGAATCCCAAATATCTCCTGAAATGCACTCAGCATCACTTGTCTGTGATTTAGGGAAAAAAAAAACAGTGTGAGGTGTTTAAGTGTGGATTTTTCCTTTCAAACTGTTTAGCAGCTTCTACTGGTACTTCAGTGCTATGCGAAATAGCCCCCACAATTTGCCTAGTAAAGCCTTTAGCCCTCAGTTCCTAGTCTGTGTGTTCTAACTAGGTAAAAAATCAGTGACGTCAATGTTAAATCAGAGGGGGAAAACATCAGGCTAGGCTTTTCGGTGGTTCAAGACGAGGTACGACATATAGGATTCTCTTTCATGTGGTGTTCTAGAAACTTGCTCCCCATAGTTTCCACATCAGAAATACTCCATGCTCTCAGTGTGGCAGTGGTAAGGTAATAAGGCTGATCCTCCCTGCAGTAGGTACAGGTGCTGACAAGGGAGCAAAAGCAAAACTCTGGTGTCTTCATAACTTCACTAGTAGTGCCTCTTTTTCATCAGATCATTGTGACCTTCCTCAGTTAACACTATCACATTTTAAGGGATTGCCATTGAGTGCGTGTTGAGTGTAGTTTGAATGCAAATGGTGATGGAGGAATATGTTTGATGTGACTTGAGCTTTTTTTTCCCCACTGCAATAAATGTGCTGTACCTATGCTGTCACGGGTCGTATTTCAGAACACTGAAATTGTGCTGACAATGAGCCTTTATGTCAATTTCCCCAAGTAAGAAGTTAAACTGAAGAGAGAGAGAGATTCAACCAAAACCAAGAAGATTCTCTAGTAAACGTGACACACTTACATAGGAGGTAAATATACACATGTGCTAAGTCTATTCTGTTATAATACATCCATGTAAATAAGTATTTCACTGCAGGAAAGGTGGTCTTTTCATAAAACTGGGCTGTCTGTGCAGTAGAAAGATGCAGATACTTTTGAAGTTGGTGCTACAGACCAGAGAAAACAGGAAATCCATCTCTCAGAGCTGATCAGCTCAGACTGGGTCAACCGATTAATATCCAACCCCACAGCTCGTACTCCACAAACTGCTGCTGAGGTAAAATAAACTCCAAAAACCTGTGCTGCGTTCACAGACCTGCAAAAACCTCCAAATTCAAAGAGGGGGCAGAATGATACAAACAGACGCACCCACGGTTCAAGATTCTCGATTAATGTAAAAATCAATATCAGACAAAATAAACTAAAGCTGTCTATCTTTGGATTGAAAGTTAGTTATCATTATGTGTTCTGAACAGGGGCTCAAAGGATTACCACTCTTTTGTTTTTTAAATCATCCTGACTATAGCACGGGCACAGCACAGATGTACTGCAGTGGAAAAACTCACAGAAAGGGTGCTTCCTGCATCACTTACCACTAACACTAATTTGTAACAGATTATTTTGTGTGATCTATATTTAACAGAAGAAGAAATATCTGTAAAGGAAAGATGAATTAATGAAGGATGCGAAAATTGTCGATTCAGCCATCTCCCCAGTCCCCACTGTTTGTTCCTTTCAACAACAACAACAAAAATCAGAAATCTGAACAAAGTAAATGAGTCGTCTGCTGTTGCTGATCAAAGCCATCATGTTCCCATCGAGAGATCAACACTGACTTTTATATGAGTTCCCTTCTCAAGAGCCAATCAGGCAGACTGAAGAAAATGTACTGTAGTGGGGGCTATACAAAGGGTGTATAGACATGCCATATATAAATAAATAATTTAATATCTGTAATTATAAATATTACGTTGTATTGATTCAACATGTAGTATGTGAAATTTCTCTTTATTTTGGAATTTTTTTAGGTGTGAACTATTCTTTATTTAAAAATTTTAATGCAGAGCTCATGGTGTCCTGTCGTTATTATACACGCACACACATCTATATCACTGTGCTTGTGACGTCCTGGTGTTGATTATCAGCGGATGATCTGACTGGCCACGCTGCTGCCAGACTACAACTCTAATGATGTTACGATATCCCTACATCTAGCTGACTTGGTAACTAATAAAGTAACATTTGATATCATACATCCGTGCACTGCCCAGATGGAGGGCAGGCAACAGGAGACAAAAACTATCAACACTGAATAAATGCCCATGATCTGCACTGTTTATGGCTGTTCCAATCAATTAAATTGGGGAAAACAAGGGCAACTTTAAGTCCAGAAAATAGAAGGACGTAAAAGGGATAAGTTTAAACCAAAAAAAAGTGACTGAGCTCCTGTAGCTCACCGTAATTCGCTCCTTTTTGGTCTCCCTCTCAAGTCCATCTACAAACGTCACCTGACCCAGAGCTCTGCTGCTGGCACCATCATCAGAACCCCCTCCATCAATCACATCACTCCAGTCCTCCTGCAGCTTCACTGGCTCCCAGTTAAACACCGCACTGACTTCAAAATCTTACTCCTCACCTTTAAGGCCGTCCACAACCTCGCTCCTCTGTACATCTCCCAACTCTTGCACATCCACACCCCCACCCACACTCTCAGGTCTTCCTCTTTCATCCACCTCACTGTCCCACCAGTCTGTCTGACCACCATGGGGTCTAGAGCCTTCAGCCGCTCTGCCCCCAGATTGCAGACGCTATAGGCTTACTGTACACTGGTTGGAGACTCAATCTACTCTGTGAAGGATTTTAGGATTTTATTAGGCCCTGTTTGTTTGCTTTCTTTTGAAGAAGATAGTACAGAGGGGAGAGATGACATACAACACAGTCCTACAGCAGGACCCAAACTGGGGTTATTGCAAAACATAGTCTTAGATATCTCAGTCACCTAGGGTGCCATGTTTTGTCAGTAGAGCTGGGTGTCAGTGAAAAAGTTACGATAACAGTAGCACAACCAGCACCCTTAAAAACCATCTGACACCAATCGAGTTCTTCTTTTAATACCTTTTTTATACTTCATTTGATACCTGTTTTATGAATGAAAGCATTTAAGAATGTCATCTCAGCACGCTGAACTGTCAACTCCATCAAATGCACCACACTCATGACACCACAGACTGTATGGGTTGTAGCTGCTGTGTAGTGGGCTAATTGCACATCACATTAAATCAAAGGCCTGTGGTGATCAGCTGCGATCAAAAACATACCAGTAGTCTTTTTTTTTTTTATTTTTTTTTAGATCTAGGAATAAAAAGGATTTAATGCAGGTATCGTTTGACTGGAGAAGTTTCAACACTACCTGGCGCTGGGTTACTTTGGTTAATAGCTTAAAGCCAGTGGTGAAATGGAGGGTATACACTGGTATATGGGGTATGTCCTCCACTTTTTCTGGCTGTTTACAGTTGACCCACCTACAAGCCAAAAAGCCATTGGAATGCATAGAAGAGTATACCCACTTCCTCCCTAGTAATCTACCCATCTACATAGTAAAACACCCACCTCATCAACTACCACTCCACTACTGCTTAAAGGCACTGAGTCCACACAGTGGATATCCAGGTCAAGACTTCCTTTTCTGTATATCAGTCATTTTGGCTCATCTGTATAAGTAATAAACACATGATGGAGGGGTTTTTGTTTGTTTTGTTTAATAGTCCTCAAAAGGATCAAAACACAGGGACATGGGCACAATCAATAAGTTTTTGCTGTTTTTATTTTGTAATGTTTTTTTTCCTCTTCAGGTGATGCTGCCTGCAGGACAGATCAGCTTCATTTATTCACATCAGGATCTGCTGTGTTTCTGTTAGTAGTATTCATCCTCAAGGTTAGGTTGATATGGATTTTCAGTGTGGGGTGGCAGAAGAGGAGGGAGGGGCCTCTCACCGTAATCTGCTGCAACACATTAATAAAATAAGAAGTATAGAAATCACCCCATTAATGTTTAATCATTATGACCTCTGCATTTTATCAGTGTTCCTTTTGTTCAGTGTTTATTTTGGATACAAAGCCCTTGGTACCTTGTTGACAAAAGCATTACGTAATTAAAGATAGCGAGTTACTAAGCAACCTCAATAAAATCATATACGACTTTCTCACCATCAGTAATGATATCGTGGTGTTTGAAGAGGCTGGGGTCAAAGAGCACCTCTAACTCGGCGGTACCTTCATCAGCTCTGCTGAAGACACAACACCAGATGAAAACAGAGAAAGCCTTTACACGCTGTGTGTTTACATGCGTATAAGAGAGGGAAAGGAACTACTATGTTTACAGTGTGTGCACAAAAACTGATTAAGGGCACTTCCCCAGAAAATGGAACAATGATGCTGTCCCATCATTAATGCCCGCCCTCCAGCCGCTGTTACATCCTGTTTAATAGTTAACTTTCTTTCTCAAACATAAAATTGGAGTATGGTTAATAGACATAATCCATTACCATGGCACCGAGATTGCAGCTACAGTGACTTGGAAAACACAAATATGGCACTTAAAGCCCAACTCCAGTCAGTTTTACTTCCTGTTTAACAGTTGAGTTTCTTTCTAAACGGAGAATGAGGATGTTCTTTAACAGTCAGACGGGAGCAAGGTCCAGCCCTCATGATGTTTTCTGCTACCTTTTTTCATTATTATTTCCTGTTAGTCTACACCTTATAGTTTTCTGCTCTGATAAGTTTGAGTATATTTGTGCTTTAAAACCTGCCAGTCAATTCAGCATCCTCTTAAACTTCTAAATCCACTTACAATTAGACAAAATCAAGTCCCCTGGGAGTTGAAATATGGCTACATCTGGTTGAAACAGCTATTTTGAATTTGGGAATTTCAGGCATGGATTCAGCATCCTCAATAACCCCCAAACCACTCCAATACTGTTCAAAATCAGACAAGCAGTTGCTGAAATACAGTCTATAGGTTATTATGCTAAAAAAAAACCAAACAAACAAAAAAAAAAACAGGACAAAGGCTTTAAACATCTCACAAACAAGACAAGAGCACAACATGCTGACTCTCTCTCTCTCACTAGAGGTGAGCCACAACTTGGCTGCTGCTGCTGCTCTAAGGAGCCATGGCACCATTCGCCTGCAGCAGTACACCCCAGGACAGATGGAAGTGTTGCCAAGGTTCGCCGTTTGAAACGTAGTTTGAAATGTTCACGAGGTGCACTGTCCACCAGCACTGGCCCGTCTAGCCTCAGCTCCCAGTATCGGCACCGCCCTGGGCAGCACTGTGACTCCCTTTATTTTTTGCTGTAATCTGGACTTTTCTCTTGTTGCTGCATGGAGAAGTTCTGTGTGTCTGGGCTGAAAGGTGAGTGCTTCCCAGTGTCCAGACCTGATAAAGGCCAGTGCTGGTGGACGGTGCAAACCTTCAGAACATCCTGCAACTGCAAACAGTGGACCTCAGCAACATGTCTATCCATCCTGAGGTGTGCTGTGGCCACAAGACGGTAAAGGAGAGAGTGAGTTCACCTTTTTACCGCCCATACAAATGCCATTATGAAAATTAACAACATAATAATTTAAGATGGAGAAAATTGAAATAAATTGAAGACCCTCCGTTAGCTAATGCAATAAGTCAGGGTAGCTAACTAATGTTACACCTAACTGACCGCCAATGGGATAATCAGACATACACAGAGATATGACGAAGGCTATCATACTACAATTATGGTAGAAAACAACACAAGTCGGCTATGTTATGACAGTGCACCGGATGATGCATGACCTGCAGCTTCTCCAACAATCATACGTCGTCTTCCAGTTAGCAAAAACCTCTTTTAAGTTATTTGTCCAAACATATTTGGCAAACAGTGTGGCTAATCAGCAATTTCAGGGAATGACTCTGAAAAGTATCCGATATAAGCATGCCAAAATACACTGGAGGGAGGCTTTAATGTTACAGCAGCACTTAGTCATTATAACCACATTACTGATAATTGTTTATCAAAAATCTCACTGTATAAATATTCTGTGAAAGCACCAATAGTCAACCCTACAATATCACTGCAATATAGATATCAATGTTTTTGGTCAAAAGTATTGTGATATTTGATTTTCTCCATATTGCCCAGCTCTGCTTTGTGGCTATGTAGCGTATGATGAGGGACATCGGGAAACTGACTGACCACCGCTCAGTGGAGCATGGACATCAATGTGTTAGTCAGAGGTGACCAGCAAAGAGAAGCTCATGAAGACTCTGTTTCTCCGCTGTACACTGAAAATAATAGGGCATATGTTTAAGTACCAATGTTGGTGCTGAATTGTGAAGGAAAACAAGTCTTTTCTTGGAAACCTATTAGTCATTCTTGTGTGACTCCTAAAAGATAAATGGTTACTTGTGTTTGCAGAAGGTCATTAAGTGTATGCAACACTGATGAGTGCTGTGCAGAAAGGTGCAGAAACAGAGATAAGGTGGAGAACTTAGTGTTTACGAAACCCAGTCTGACCACATCCTGAACAGAACGCCTTAAACAAATTTCCGAGTGGCATCTCACTGTCTCCAGCCCAAAGTCATATTTTTGTGTATAATTAATAGAGGTGATTTTTCCAACAACAAAAATTCAGCGAGCTAAAATGTCTTTTTCTGCTCAAAATTATCTCATATGTGTCTGCTTAGACTTGAATGTTCAGTTCCAATGAACTATCTGGCCCATCCCTAACTCTGACATTACAGGTATGACTCCAAGGTCCATTTTGTATTTTGACATCTTCCTCAACTGTGGTAGCAGCTGCTGCACCAAATATTAAAAGCAGAAAACTGCAACTGCAATTTTAAGGACTAACTTTAAACATTTGAAGTTAATCGTTAAAGAATAAATGACCTGGAAAGCTGGCGCTGCTCCACATAATTTAAAAGGTAACTTAGCCTACACAGAGCGGTGGAAATGTCCGTGCAGCTGCAGACGGGTGCGGCTGGATGATTGATAGGTGTGCTATCAGAGCCGATCTGTGCATCACTATGGCTTAATAATCAACTCAGTCAATAAAAACAACCCGTCCTGTGTTAGGAGTGTATGTCGCTGACAGAAAGAAAGAAAGAAAAAAAAAGAAAAAAAAGATAGAAAAGCAGTGTACACCTCACATATTTATTTCTCACAGTTGCGCACACGTTTGGCTGGCATGCAGAAGCACCGTCTGCGTGTCTGTGTGCCGAGGGTGCGATCCGCAGCTTCAGCTGCTCAGGTAGAGAGGCTGTGTAGCCTGGTGTGTTTTTTCGCTGATTCGGTTCTGCAGGTTCTCTGCTGGTACACTGGAGATGACAGTCTGTCTTACTCGGCGATTGACGTGCGATTTATTCGGCTTTCCTTCCTTTCCCTCACTCATGAGCACGTCATCAAAATGCGCTGTCGTCTCATTATTCATGATGTATGACGTGGATTGCCAGGAAATATCCGATCTGTCTGTTTAAATTACAGACCTATTGGCAGATATCGGATTCATATCCGATATATTTCCATATATGAAGGAGGCCTGAATCTGATCTGACAATATCCGATATCATGCGTTTTTTTTCTGTTTACACGTTCATGTTACGATCTGTGCCACTTGAGAGGAAAAAAATCAGAATTGGGTCACTTGAACCATGTAGTGTAAAGTAGGCTTAACAGAAGCTTCTCAACGCTGGTTATCTCTGACTCCAGAAAAGTAACCAAGTGTGCACACATCCAGGCAAAATACTCAGGTGCAAGACAAAAAAATTCTCCAGGTCAGAAAGACGATCTGCCAACTGTTGGCAATGTGCTGATCCACAAGATCTTCCTCAGGTCAGACTGGTTAGCTCTGACTACTGGCTCTACATCAATGCCTATGCTACACTCAGCAGTGGTCAGTCAGTAGGGATGTTTATCATTTAGAAAACTTCTTCCTCAGACGTTGAACTGACCGTTCACCAGGAAGAGAGCGGCTCCAGAGACGGCAGCAACAGAAAGTTTTCTGCTCTTTGACTGGTGAAGCTTAGATACTACCTGGTACTGGGTTATTTCAGGCAATAGCTTGAAAGTATCGAATACCAATATCCAGCCCTTTCAGTCAGTGCCCCCTGTGTCAACTGACCCATCTGTGTCACAAACTATGTACCAAAGCCCTCCTACAGTCTTTCCCCCCTTACTTCTCTGATGCATTTTTTAAAAATATACTGGGATGGAAGGTTCTTACAGAATTTGAAGGTGTTACGTTGGATGCTCTCTGTCTACATAAGATCTGTCAAATATGGAACTCAGTCACATCATGTAAACAAACCACACACCACAGCTGTGGTCTCAGAGTAACCACCAAACTTAATACAGGAAGTCCAGGAAACCAAGTTAAATTATAATAGCACAGAAAACTGTCAGAGGTCCAAACTGCGGGCTCAACATGTTCACATGATTGTTTTGTTTTAAATAATACCTTTATCTCATCAACAGGAGCCCCCTTCCCCTCCTCCGATTAAATGCCAATACAAAACAAAAACTCTGGACAATGATGATGGTGATTCTTGTGTTACTTTTAACAGGAAAAAAGTAAAGCATAAAGTACAAATAAAGACTCACCTGCTCAGCACAGGTGCAGAGAGACCTCCACCAACAAAGCAAATGAGGAGGGTTATGATGTATCCACTGATCATCATCATTATGCTTGGAGGTGTTGTGAACGGGAAGCCTTGAGCAAACTACTGCATCAACTCACAAGAGAAGTTTGATTCTAAATTTCCTTCAAATCATAATTAACTAGGACACACTTGGAATGTTTACATTTAACAATGTGAGTGATCATGTAATTACTTTTTTGTGAACAGAGCACAAAGACAAAACTTATACATGTAAAGTGGGCGTGATTTTTGGACACATTTGTGTGCACCTTGTTCAACTGATGCCACATAAAGTTTGCCTCTTGCAATCTCATGTTTCTGTACCACTGTGGGTGCTAAAACATGGAGAAAAGTGGGGCACACTTCTAGTATAAGAACAACTTTAATGTGACACCAACACTTTCCAGAATCTAATGAAGCAGATATTATATCAGGATGTTTATTTAGATAGTTCAAACAAACCCTTTCAGACAGTGGATAAATAGAGGTGCTGCAGCACTGGACAGCATGAGAATAATAATGTGGTATTTTAACATAAAAACATGTTAACATGTTCTGGTAGTACCCTGAAATAAATGTATGAACCTTAAAATAAGCATAAGGGGTCATACCCATGCTGTGTTTTTTGCGCCCTCAAATCCATTGTTTTCAAGGTAGACACGCAGCAGGCACGCTCAAATGACCAAGATACATCGTCTCGACGGGCACACATTCCCAAGCACCTATTTTTTCAGGGCACAACGGCTGTGCCCTGGGATACACAGAGTTCAACCTTATAATTCAGCAGTGCCAACTGCATGTCATTTGACGGGGCACAACCAGTGCTGGACTGGCCATCGGCCCACCGGGCATTTGCCTGGGGCCGATGGTAATTTTGGGCCGGGCCTTTTTTTTTAAAAAAAAAAAAAAAAAAAAAAAAATTTTTTTTAGTCATGTCATGATACCTATTGGTACACAAAACTGGTAGATCGGCCCATTAGTCATGATTGATTCTGGGCTGGACCAATTACAGCCGAGGGCCGATGCCCCCTCCCACTTGGGCCTCGGCTGCCAGTCAATCAATCATACAGAGAGAGGAGATTGACAAAATTGAGAAGAAACTCAAAGTAGGTGCGGAAAAAATAAGAGAGAAAAAGAGACAAGCCCTTTAGGAAGATGCTGCCAAATGTGTTAAAATAACACAGATGTTTGCTGGCTATGGCGGAGCTTCTTCAGCGGCAGCATCAGTGACCGCACCCGCACTGGCATCCAAAGCAGCTGCAGCAGGTAATGATGGCGGAGGTGGCCGTCAGCAGGTGGATGAGGCGAAGGGGAGGCAGGAGGAGGAGACCTGCGGCCGCCGCATTATATGACGACGGCACAGGTGGTGTGACTGGAGGGGAATTTGAACTTCAGGTAAGAAGTGATGAACAGCAGTCTACCTGGGTCAGATATGAATCAAGTTTGGTTGATAGTTTATTTTCGTTGTGCTTGCTAACTCTTAACACAGCATAGTTATGAGTAGGCCATTTAACAATTTAGCTGGCTGTTGAGCAGCATGACGGGGTTTCTCTACTGCTGGGCTGTTTCTATGATGTTATACTAGTGATGGTGATCTTAGTGCTTCAGTAACTTTATTTTATTCATTTAGTTAGTTAAGTATAGTCTTTATTAGTTAGGTAGTAAAATATTTCAATGTCTATTAATTGATATAAGTGCACTATGCAGTAATTCTTTACTCTGAAACAGCTAAAGCTCAACAGAGCAAAAATGTTCATGTAAAACCAAATGATTAGGCTAGTATTCATCATAAACCCACTTGCAAATATAATTTAGATTGAATCAAATTAGGATTTGCCAGGAGATGTGATGCTGCTCATTAACATAAAAGTGGCTTGGAGTTGAAAGTAACTACTTAAATGTATTTGTCTTTTATACATAAATATCCTCTTTATTCTAGATATGTTGTGTTTTTATCTTATTGTTTTTTACTGACATTTAACAGCAAACTCTTGTGGACAATAATTACCTGTATTTTGTTTTTATTGTGGGCATGTTTCCATTCAATTTAAAATATCCCTTCACTTTTTAAAGGTTGCCATGTTTGAGGAAGTATTATGTGTTGCTGTGCTGTTTATTGATGTGGTGAGTACATAGTCTATGAAAATATTACTAAATCTGTCATTTATTCATTTTAATATTCATCAGTGATCATGTCTCACCTCTGTTCCTCACTGTCCAATTTTCAGGATCCCATCATACGTTCATTGTTCAGGAGTTTCACTAGACCAAGCAGCCTTTTGGGTTCCTCTAAGTAAGTACTGTATAGAATAATGGGACTGGGAGGATGGTGTAGGTTTAAATTTATTAGACAAGTACATATACACCAACAAGACAGTGTACAAGCGGTGTCACAAGAAAGTTTGTTTTCATTCATAGGCTTCATTGTCTTTCCATCAATACCTGGTGGGCCGGACTAGGCTCAAAATGCCCGGGCTGATTTTTTGTCCCAGTCCAGCCCTGGGCACAACCAATCACTGCTGACAGATATCTTACCCTTCTTCCATAACTATCAGTCAGTATGTTTACATGACACTTGAAAAAAACGAATTATTGCCTTAATCCGACTATAACTGGACAACTGAAGTGCATGTAAACACATTACTCCGCCTAATATCGGAGTTCTCCAACTCCGATTAAGACACCCAGATAATGCGATTGGAATTCGATTTTCTCTGGCATGTATACGCCTTAATCAAGACATGCTATTGTTGTAGCCCTCCAACAGCATACGGCGTTCTTGTCTGCCTCTCGAAATCACCATGACCACGAGGGATAGCGTACACCTTATCTGCACAATCAGTAATGTGTACATTACGTACCAGATGAACAAAGCTGTACGATTATCCATCTTGCTGTTCGAAAATGCCGGTCTGCCGCCTGACTCCAGTTGTTTATTATTAAGTGACGTAACAGGTCAACCGGAAAGGGGGCCGTATTAACCCGCTGAAACGACTCATATCGCCACCTAGTGTTGAGGAGGAGGACACGTTCCCGTCAGTAATTGGATTTTCTCAGCTGCATGTAAACTGGGACAAGGACAGAAGTCCGATTAGACGCCAAAATCGAATTTTGAGCATAGTTCGATTACGCTGTGCATGTAAACGTACTGAGTCAGTAGTAATCAGGGTTGGGCAGTAATGCTTTACTAGTAATGCATTACAGTAATAACATTACTTTTTCCCGCAACTTCCCGTCGTGTAACTAATTACTAATACAATTTCAGTATTAATATTACAATTACTCCAAAACAACAACAACTCATTACAACGTTACTTTTGTTATCACATCACAACTGACTAGGGAATACATAGATACAGGGCACATTCCCGTCATCTGAATGAGCCCCTGCTTCACAATCAATCTGGTCAGGGATGATGGTCAATCACCTCCTCCTTGGATTACAGCACAATGTAACACAGTGTTACAAAGTGAGGACTTCCTCATCAATATGAAAATTATGTGCCCTCTGTTTGACCCCTCCCTGATAACATCAGCCTTATACACAGAGGGAGTGCTCAGCAGCAGTACAACAAATGTGGCCATTTGGAACAGAGTTTCCTGGGGAACAATAGTCCAGCTAATGTTCTGGTCATGTTGTGGACTTCTACCTGACAACAACAACAAAAACAACAAGGGGTAAGTCATCAGCAATATCTTTGTCGGGAAAATTGTGGCTTGCTTTCAGTGTTTAATAAATAATTTGCAGTTCATCTGTAACGTTATTTTCTTTTAGATATACTGTCCTGATAATACTGTGATTTTTATCCATGTACTTTACTGTAATAGAGTTATTTATTCCCCATCAATTTTGCTTTTAAGTTCTTTGGGAATGAAAAATAAAAAAAATCTACCTGTTAAATCATTAAACAAGGTGGATAGCGCACTTTTAGTAGGAGACGTTTCTACCAGTGTAAACACTCACAGGCTAAATCAAAGTAATGTTTTTTTTCTATTATCATCCATTTTATTAACACTTTGCCAGATTGAAAGTTAAAGTCCGTTTGTTTTTCAGATGGTACCCAGTTCGCATTTTGATTAAGTAATGGCACAGACTGCATTATATTTACTCTCCGCCATTTCATTCGAGCTGCAGAATTCTGACATGCATGCATGACATATTTTACTAACACAAAAATTATAATATTGCAACCCCATACCTGCCAGTATTGACACAAAATGAAGTGATGACTATTGAGTGTGAATTATGTTAGCAGTAATGAATAAGGGAAAGAGGGAGTGACCCCTAACACTGCCCTTATTTGTTTTTTAATTCTGTGTCAGTCATAATGACTTAAGGACACAGAGTAACGGACACTGGTGGGGTTCTGTGGCATAACTGGTTTCACTACAGTGTAAACTGAATGTTTGTTTTCCTTCGAGGTGCCGTTTTATACACCAACAAACAGATAACTTCACCTCTGTGAGTGTTTGGTGGAAAAATGAAGGGGCAGTTTTTCACAGCAGTGAGGTAACCTGTCTCTCATCTTGTAAAGTTTGCTTTTTTAATCCGGTGATGTAATATTTTAGCAATTCATGAACAAATGTTGAATACTGGTACGTGTAAACGTAGGTAAGACAGTTAAGAAAAAAAAAACATTTCACCAAAACCTGATGAACTCATCCTATTTGTTTGTGTTTTATTTTATTTCCCTGTGGTAATATGTACAACTACCAGGTCTGTGGATTGTGCAGCATTTTTCTCGAAGTTTTAAATGCTTGTATCCATTGGTAACAAAATGAGAGTATATGGGTGGCGGTAGTTGATGGACAACTATTGATATTTTTCCCTTTTCCTTTGAAACGCCTGTTTGTCACTTTGTATCATGCCGGGTCTTTTCTCTCAAACCCTGAGGTTTTTGTGGGCCCATGAACGCAGTGCAGACGGAGCGCTCCATGAGTTCTTTTTTTCCCTCAGCAGCAGTTTGTTCAGAGCGAATCAGATCAGGGAGAATATATACACACAC